AAAAACTTTGCATTCACGATTGTTTATATTGGTCTGGGTGATTCCTATGCACAGGTATAATATATATAAAAACATATATCAGTGTTCTAGTACCCATAACACAAGCTCACTTAGCTTTGAACTAGATGGCGCTGTGTGAATTGGACAGGAAAAGAAAAGAAAAGGAAGAAAAGTTGTAGACATATCGACTTCTACTACTAATAGTTCTACTTTGAACAAGAAAATTAGAAACAGGTAATAGAATCTATTTGGTAAATATCAATATAAAAATATCACTGAAATTAAGTACCTCAACATCTTATTGTAATTAATATGAATAATATGATAGGTAGGTTATTAAACATGAATTAGACGCCAAACAGGATGTAGCTAGCATGTTTTATGTCAAACGACAAAAGATAAAAAAACTTTGGTTGATAAAATATGTACAGTGTGTGCACCTAGTTATAATTTCATATGATTACATACATAGATACCTATATCTACATAAATATGGGGTATATATATTTCTTTAATAATAAAAATATATTTATGTGCGTACATTTATATGTATCTCTTAACACATCACATAATTGTTATAAGTGTAAACGATTTTGTATTAAGTCGTAAAACAATAAAAAACATCAAGTAATATTTTTAACTGAAAATTATATTAATTAAATGAATGGTATTTATAGAGTTCCGAACCAAGGAACAACTGTGCATATAATAAAGTATAAATAATAACTATAATCACTTTGAAATGTTTTAAATAACTTGTTTCCCACGTCTTATTAGAAATTTTAGGACAATTGAAATCGGTATTGTATTCCCATATCCAAAATGTACAATATAAATAATAGTGAAATTAATTTCTTTAATTCCAAAATTATTTTGTTACAACATAAAATAATTACTGTCGATAAATGCTTGCCGCAACATATATTTATATACATGGATAAACATGACGTACAATAATAGGTACTATATTATACCTAATAACTTCCATAGACAGTATGGTAAAGTCTAACAGTGGTGTACAATATAAATAAACACAGTAGCGTTTATTTATACCTACTTTATTATATGCAAACAACATGTTATATAATATTCTAAAAAGGCAGAATAGTGACTTACAAAACGCGGGCATTATACTATGGGAGCTCTTATGAGTTTTTATACATAGTATAGTAATATACTAGTGTTATTAGTTGTGATGTAGTTGAGTGTCATGAGTCAGCCATTACTTAAATTTCCAGACAGGCGGCGGCGTAGTGGGATGGGTCATTGGGCTTCCTAAAATATGATTGAGCGCAAAGACGGATAGCTCACTCGTGTTACTTGTAAACGGGTGCTGCTTGTAGGGACTCTGCTTGCAGACTCACACATGAGGAATGAGAATGAAACTTGCATGTTGCTCTGTTAAATAAATGCTATCAGCATTGCCTTTTTATGATTATGTGTGAATACAAACTGCCAAACAATACAAATTTAAGTTTCTTGCTCATTCTTCTTGTGAGTCTGTTTTCCGAAATAGTGGTAGAATAAAAAATGAACTATGCAAGTGTTTGTTTCTAATTATCCGCATTTTTAGAACAACGTCTAAGTCGACTAGACGGATCTTAATGAGGTTGTTATTAGGTAGATATGTTTTAATTGTAGGTATGCTATCATAAACTTCATAAACTATCGAAACGAAGATTGTTATTCTGGACTAATAGCCCCATCGCTAACAAGGTACCATGTTAGTTTGACCTACACGCGGTTCTTCTAGAAACTATCATGATAAATTCCAGGTGAATTTGCCATGGCTGAGTAACCTGACCTTATACTCATCGTATCCTCCTGCTCCACTGGTGCCCCTCCAACGTAAACCGCAGGCGGGTGAACCATTCCATTAACATCCATTACAAAAAGTACATTATATCGGTCGTAAATTTATTACACAAAGTTCAAAGGATCACTGCTGGCTTGCTCGATGCCCAATTGCTTGCCTATTGAGACTATTGACATTATTTACATCAGAGTATAATCATACCGGATACAGCTGATACATTTCAAGCAACAGTGGAAGGTTGCTCAACCACTCTTTTAATCAAACTAAATACCTACCTATTTAACTCGTTACAATTCCATACAAAAAGTCTCTTCTAAATTAATACATAAATTCTAAAACTAATAATAATAAAAATTGTATGGAATTGTAACGAGTTAAATAGGTATTTAATTTGATTAAAAAAGTGGCTGAGCAAGCTTCGTGTATAACTTTCTTGAAAAGATAAGCGTTGTCATGCGGACCTTTCTTGTTGACCAGCTGTGCTCGCGGCTTTGTCCGAGTCACCGTCATACACTGATTCATCGGGTATAAAAAAAATCATTGTCTACCCAAATACTGTATGTCATTGAAAAGTCGACCCGTCAAAACATCACACGTAATCATTATAATAAACAAATTCAATTTCATGTTTATAATTATCTAAGCCCGGATTTTGTAAGCGTGGTGATTTGGAATAACTTTCTGTTTGTGATCCGATTGTAATGAAACTAATACTAAATGGTACAGGAAGTTTGCCACAATAGGTATTGAATTAGTTTTTACAAATGTATTCAGATGTAAAAACTGAATTCAAATCAGTTGATCCGTTTCTGCGAGTGCGACACAAACGCACAAACAAACAAAAATTCAAACTAACAAAAGTTATTTCTTCTCTATAATGTAAGTGCGTGAGTGTACTAATTGTTATTTTTTTTATATTGAATGTATAATGAATATATATTGGTAAAGAACTAAGGATATGCGTTAATCGTCACTACTTTACAGCATATAAATGTGGATGGTTATAAGGGTAGAGGAAGACCGAAAAAGAGATGATGGACTGTGTGAAAGATGATATGGTGAGAAAGGGAGTAAATAACGGGATGATTGCGAACAGGGATGAATGGAAGAGAAAAACATTACGCCGACCCCAAATAAATGGGATAAGGAAGAAGCAGATGATTTAAATTATTCTTTTTCATTTAAAGTTTCAATAAAAATGTACACAGAAGTATTATAAAAGTATTATTATTTTAAACGGCGTGGTTAATTTAATTGACTTATAGAAAAGGAGGCAATTCTAGCTTCTAATTTTGAAAAATGTCATTTTTTCTATTTAATCGACGATATATGTTATTCTGATGTGTAAGCTTCATTAATGTAAAGTTTCATTAAAATCCGTTCAGTATTTTTTGCGTGAAAGTGTAACAAATGTTTATAATATTAATAAAATTAGGCACTGGTTTTTAACAATTAACAAATTAAAAATAATATCAGTTTTTTTAATTAGTGTGGTAAATCAGCTGACGACCCATGTGATGGAAATGGAAAGCATGTTTTAATTATCATATTTTTTTATTCTACCACTCATTCGGAACACAGATAGACAAACTTTTTTTGTAAATAGTTACTTGAGTAACAAGGAAATGAACTTTGAAAAAGGTCGACGACAATAGATATATGTAGGTCAAAGTGCCTAAAACATCTGGCAATAGACCAAACCCCTTATTAAAAAAAATAACAAATACAAAAACAGACAACTCCCTACAAGCAGCAATCGTTCATAAGTATAACGTAAAGGACTAAGATGTTATGCCTCGGTACCCTGTAATTTCACTGCCTGTCAGCTGGAATTTCCACACATGGGCACTTATAAACTTCTCACAGTTTTTACAAATGTACATAATAACATAACAACAATGACGTATTTATAGATTGACCGTTTGTTTACTTGCGATACATCCGTGAATGCGTAACCTTCACGTGTCTTCAAGACATACATACAGATACGTCCATAATTATATTATTATAAAAGTACGCATGAGAATAATAATGCATTTAGCTAATCACATCACTAGCGCAATGATTAGACACAAGATTCATCTAAATATCAATATAAATTTCTCATTATGTTCTAATTAAGTTCGATAAATTACTTACACAAGTCATTAGTAGTATTAATTTTTAATTTAGTAGTTATACAAATTTTAAAATATTTTGTACTTGTATGTGTGGGTACGTTAAAAGAATTAGGAAGGATATTGACTAACTGCCGTAGGTAGGCCCAGTACTATAAAATTATTGTTTAATCTAAAGGGTTAATTCTTGTGTTTTGTAGGAAAATTTTAAATAATCACATTACAAAATAAACGGTACGTTTCGAAGAATTTTCCAATCGGTTTAAAAACGGCTCATAAATCAATAGAGATCAAAGGTGTAATGCAATTATCATCATAGAATTCTTAGAATAAAAACTGAATTTCTATCTAATGATCTAAACTATTAAATTCAAATCCGTGATCAGATGTCTTGGATAACGAATGAATGTAAATCACTGTTGTGTTCTCGGCAGCGAAGTGAAAGTTTGCCATGATATCCGCGCGGTGCCGGACCTGCGACACTTACGTACAGACAGACGACAGATGAACATATACACATTAATTAAACCTTTCTACTACTTTCACAACACGATGCAAAAACAACAATATCAACAACCACGCACAAAACCGATACCGCACGATGACTGCATTCTACGAGAATAACAATGTCTCCTTTTTCAATTCAATTATTATATTAACTGGGTACTATCTAGGCGACATCACTTATAAAATATCACAGTATTACTATAATTTTTACTTCGTTTGCGATGTTTTGACATAACAATAAAGAGAGAATTCCTATATAAGAAAATCCGAAAGTAAAATTTCACTCACCCATACATAATTAAACTATATGAAGAATTCATTAAAAAAATCATACATTTTCATATGTACTGATACGCAAGCACTATCGGTGGTAATTAGCATACATGACGTTAACGAACCGGCTCTACTTCCGGGATCGTTATATCGGCCGAACGTGAATGAACATCACAATGCGATGTACATAAATGTATCAATGTGAAACTCGCGTGATGGGGCATCCGCGGGGGTAGTGCGTATCACCAGACGTTCTGTTCACCAGAGGGAATGATCGTCGCGCTCACCTGGCTAGTGTCAATCGCGAACATAATAGCGTGCTAGTGGGTGCGCGCGTCGCATTGCATCGCGCTCGTGTGCGGGCGCGACGTATTACGCGGTAAGACTACAGCCAACTACTGCCGACACCGAGAGCATGTGCCGAGTGCCGCATGCACACCTCCACGCACGGGCTGGCTCAGTGAAGGGGAAGCGGGGCACCGCGAGATCCGGGTTGTGCGCCCACTGCACCCGGCGGCCCCCAAACATACCGAACAATATTGACCTCTGGCATGTCGACCAAAACCATCTCCGTTGTCGTATTCGACGTGGACCAGATAAATGTAAAAAGTATAAACTAAATGCCTGATGTTTCATCCTGAATTTTCATTCGCAAGATATGAATAATTAGTGCATTTGCATAATTAATGACCAATAAGCAAACATGTCTATACAGTGAATTGAGCAATTCTCATTAAAATGTCACTTGGCAGAGTGATAGGCCAACTTGTTGGCCTCTTTGAAATATGATTGAATTCAAAGATCTCATGAAACTAAATTTATAAATTTAGGTACTTTACTTGTAGTCTATATCTCATTTTGATACTATTTTATATATTAAGATTTTTACGCAAATACAAAATATTGACACAATACCTTATCAGTATTATTCTTTTATTACCTACAATTAATTCAGATTTTTAAGTTTAGAGATAAGTATGGGAATGGATTATTTTACAATTTTTATCAATAATTTTAATTAATATAAATCTATGCTATAAAAATATAATTGGTCCTATATAAATATATCTTCTTAAAATACATGGTTTAAAGTTAGTTTTAAATATCAAGTTATTATTTCAAATGCAAAGAAAGCAAAATATGTCCATTTTTTTCATAGTATAAAATTATAAAATCTAAAACTATTCCAAATTTCACCATTAGGGACACTTCAGGACACTTCAGTATTGAAATAATAAAGCATTACCAAAATAAAGTGCTAAAGATTTAAACCAATGCTCCTCGGTACATAAAAAAGGAGGACTACATAGAAATCCTAACAGTACATGAAAAAATAAAATGTTCCTGTAAGACTTACAGGCAAAAACCACAGTAGCATACCAAACCATTAGCAGCAATTCTCTTGGACTACATATTCAGGGTGAAAAGGTCACCTCTAGCTATGATATAACACAGCAGATGTATATAAAAGGAGGACCATATTACTGGAATATTATTGTAAACTCAATGCAACTGATAACAAAAACAATCAAGTATGATATAAGCTAATTGGCTGATCCCAAATAGACATAGAGAAAAAATAAAAAAAAACAGAATGGACTCAGGCCGTCCATTACTATTTACAAGAGCCACTCGCCAACATGTCAAATATTATAATACACCATTATTTACTAGTCAGTAGTTTATCATGGCTTCAAGAAGAAACCAGATGGAGGCCCAAAAGTTTACTTCATATCATTTACTTCAACACACAGGTTTGCTTAATTATAACAATTACGTATTGAAAAATGTATAATTTAAATTATTATTTGCAAATAACAGCATTGAATGTAATTATTACGTAAACTTTATGCAATTGTTTTTTTCTCATTTCATTACTATCCACTTGCCTTTATTTTTTAAAGAAAGTAAATACTGTGTCAAAGCAATTAATTGATGATTATTAAAAGTGTAAACAACACATATTTGTACTATATATTTTATCAGTATCATATTGAATAACAGAAGATTAGATGTCTACATTTGTCATAATTAATGAATAAAAAAATATTTATTCTGATAAAAATCATATCAGATATTAAATCAACACAATTTTAAGTAAATACCATTCAGTATTGTAAAATAAAAGAAAAATTAATATGCTATTAAATGTTTATTAGAAAAATATTGATGGTTTTCTAACCTTCAAAATATTAAAACAAATAAGAAATACACTTGTAATTTAAAAAATGTAGACCTTATGATAACATGCACTACTTTATACAGACTAATATTGTAGTCAGTATTTTTTTATAATCATTACTATACTAATTAGAATGTGTGAACTAATAATATACTAAGTTCACATTACAAGGAATCATCAAGAAGTTAATGGGCATTGAATGTTACTACTATAAAGTATACCATTTGTTACATATTTAGTTTATGATAAAGCAACTTAACATTATTTCCTACTAAAATGTCCACTCCCAAAAAAGATTCTAACCTATACATAATACAACTGCATATTACAAAATATTCTAACTAATAATAAAAATATTTAGTATAAACCTATCTTAATAATTTCATATTGTTTTAGATCCATACATTCAAATAATGATTACATTATCAAATATATTAAAATAATTTTAATGTTTTATAAAATTATGTAGAAATTCATAATTTCATAAATCCTCACCACTATGAGATATTGCAAAAATTTTATTATGATATTAAAAATAAAACTATAGCTACATATATAAAAAACTGATAAATTCATGTACATTAGAGACAAGAAATTTGATAACCAATTATTCTGTACAGTAAAGTATTTTCACGAATAAGTAAACAAAGTGTTTGTATAACCAGATTTGAACAGGTTTCCTAGATCTGGCAAAACAATATTAGATTAGAACAATGTATAATTTTCATTCAAATAACAATTGTGTATTTAATAAATTTTTGAGACCGACCTGTATACGTCCAATTAATTCTCGTGGATTGTAGCTGCCATCAGCTGGATTCAAGTTAAATATGACGTTAAAGAGCACATAATCAGGTTTTTCTTTCGTGAGGCTGGATTTATTCTCAGATAAAGTGACACAGTAAAAAGTTTCTACTAAATTCAAATATTTGCTATAGAAATTTGCTACACAAGATCTTGGTACAGATATTAACAGATCTGTATCCTGAGACATTGCAAAATACTTTTTTTTATAGTTAACATTTAATTATAGTGAACTATAGAAATTAAATTGCATAATTTACACGAAAACACAAGTCAAACAAGTTACAATACCAAAAAAAACCTTGAATGACGCGAGATGCGAATTGCGTTGCGAACTTGCAATTGCGTATGAATGATTGACAGATAGACAGTGGACAAATGTTTACGTCATTTCATTTGTCATTACATGGCCACAGCGAATACAACTACCACAAGTAATAGAAACAATGTCATATTAATCTGTAAACTTATCATTGATACTTTAATTACACTCACTGGACAAGTAAACACTACGTTTTAATTACACTTAGTTTATAGGATCATATCTATAATCCTATAAACTACATTAATTAAACGTTCATGAATTTTAAAGAATTTATATACAATGTAAATCGAAGAAGCCAAGAAATAAAATGTCAATATAGGTACATATAAGGAAGACTACGCTTATAATGAAACAACAGTATTTAAACATTCTGTCTTATTCGCACAATTGCCAGTATCAATAAAACAAATGCTATGGTAGAAAATATGAACACAATGTTATGTGGGTACCTAAAAATATGTACTAGGTATTCACTAGGTAGGTACTAAGTATACGTATTACTACGTACAAGCTAAATAGTAAAATTATTATTTATCACATTACATTGTATCATTATTGCATGTGTTTAGGTATCTACTTTCATTCCGGCCTATATAATTTAATTCTGTATAATTTATGGAAATTAATCATTTCGTTTTATATAAATAATATACGTTGGCTACACACACAATTTAATTGCAGTGCAATTGCTGTGTAATGAACCAGTTATTTAGATATTGTTCATAAGAACAGTGTTTATGTTTCTTACTAGTCCGAACTGTTATTCAGAATCCGATGTGGTCAGCAAGTTTTGTCCGCCGTTAAGTTTTTCTATTTTCTCTTTATTTTGTAAACGTGTGCGAAACATTTTACTTTCATCTGCACATTTAGTCGTAATGCTGGTCCTGAAAGAACGTAAGTATTACTACATTGTTCTACAGGATACATATAATTTATATATAGGTATATAATTATACATACATGTTATAGAAATTCCTATTAATGAATATGATATTGATCCATAGCTTAAACATACACATCCATAACTTACAAAGAACAAAAGGTATTAAATCGGCAAATAATAAAATATCACCGATTGGAAAAACAAACATCAAAATTGGTTCACAATTAATAAGATATCGCCTAATTTGTCGGGTGGCTAGTGACTATTTGTAAGTACTTAAATATATTACTAAGACCAGTATTTACTTTAATAAATTAGTATTTATAGCTTACCTTACGACACTTTCTGGAACGTTACAACGCTCTACGACAGTTATTACAATATCATTCACTAACTCTGGGTTTAATCTCTTCTTCGCGGGCTTATTTGGAAACGCAGGCGATGGTTTCCCAGTTAGAGAATGTGTCGCCAAAACTCTGCAATATAAAAAGTAAATGGTATGGTAAGCCCTTAATTAATATTACGACAGCTGGGACATCATTTAATTTTGAATATAATATATATATTAACGGTTTATAAAATAGTCGTATATAGGAATAGGTCGAATCGTACGCGTTCGTAGCGACATCTACCGCGAGCGGTACAAAATATATGAATGAAAAATTTTATTCGCAAATAAAAACTGTTTGACGCCATTATTAAATTGCGTCCCATATGAAACGTTAACCATTTCTAAAATTATCATTAAAATCAGTTCACAATTTCATAACAGCTATAAGTTTATGCCGTATATTGCAGACATATGAAAATAATTATTTGAGAAGCAATAACAAAAGACTTTTTGAATTTGTTTTAATGGGAACAGGTTGGTAGGTATATATAGACAAAATTATTTTACCGGCGCGAGAAAACGGCCGTCAACAATTTCCTAGTAACAGTTGTGTAGGACGACCAATTCATCTGCTTTAATAATCTTGTTGGCACTCTTGCATGGCCCTCTCCAATTGGTACCTGGAGATAGAAAAATAATGTTTAATTTGAATACATTTATATACAAACACAGTCATTCTTGGGCATCCCAGTGTTCATACTTCCACACGGTTTGACTTCATGTTAACCCTAACATCCTTCAATAAGACGTTTTAGGTATATTATAGGACTCCTATAATATACCTAAAACGTTTGTAGTTAGACGAATGTCTACACCATACTGTGGCCATACCATATATATGTAAATATTCTAATATCTAGGATATGTTTATTAGCCATTATCTATAAAACCTATATATATGTATGTTATTATTCGAGGATTATTTTCGAAATAAAGAATTTATGCAATAAAAAATACTAAACTATACATAGATGGACCTCACATTAGACAATATACATACATATACATGTCGTATTATATCACGTATATGTTGAAGTCTATTATTGTTAAATATGTCAAGACATGTAGGACAAAATGTGACATTGTGTGACAAGTGTGGATTATGTCATCATTCAGCCCATGTCACATAATGGCACATTTTGTCCTACATGTCTTGACATATTTTCGACTCGACTCCTCGTGTCACATGTAACGCAAATTATGGATGGACCCGAATATGTACCAACATCTACTTTTTTTTTAAATACTTCGATATTTATATAGAAATATTTACCTTTTCGTTGGTGATGATGTTCACATTGCGATTTCGTAGTGCACTTTTATTATTCTTCACTGGTTTATTTCCTATTTGACTGTCAGAATCATTGACATTTGATTCGTTCTTATCATGTTCGGGTACTGAATTCTCTTTTCCAATCTAAAAAACGAATTAGTCACTCATTATTGTGTTTCCTCTAATATGGTTGACATCATATCAGTAGTAATTTGTAATGTTATGTTATCTGTGGTAGTAATGATATAAAAAGGTAAAGTTTGGTGTGAATGTTGCAAGTAATTACCTACCTAAGAGTCATTAGACCTCCTACATTTAAAAATATGTTGAACAATAGGTATTCATTCAGAACGAACAACAATGTGCACGTAAGCTGTAATGTACCTTAGATTAAGTATATTAATTAATTTAAGATATGCATAATATTAAGTTCATTAGAAAATGTATCTTAATCTAAGTACTATAGATCTCAGTCCTCATGAAATTGAACAGCTTTCCATACAACACTAAAACACGATTATAAACATAATGTCGTATTCGCGATTTTTAAGTTACTAATAAATACAATATATGTAAAAAGTCTTTGTCAATATACAATTGACCACTCATGCTTCTACATATTTAAAATTCATATTATAAACATCATATTATTTATCGTTCATTTCGTATCACTCGTTCGTTTATTCGATCATAGTTTCATGCTCCGAGATGGATAAGTAGTTCTGGTACTTAGGTAAATACGCTATTATTTGTATGACGTTAATACATATAATAAATAACTTATATAGAAATTTAAAAATATTGTATCTAAACTGTATATATACGTATGTCACTAAACAAATGAAACGTTCGATCATTGCTTCTTCTCGGTATTCAGATTTATACGTCACTTGCCTTTAATTGCCCGTTTGAAACACCCTCAGTGTCACTGGTGTCGTCTTCTACGCAACCACAGTTGTCTTGATAAATGTGTAATAATTGGTGCATATTCGTTAATTTTGCTTCAAGTTTTGGATTACCCTGCTTTTTATTTTTATTTGTTGTTTTTGAAGTAACGTTCAGATATCCGCATGAGTTCTAAGAAAAAAATGTTCTTCATTAACATCAAATTTTGCCACAAAAGAATGTGTCTATTATCTCGACATTTTGTTTTTTAATTTTATGTAATTCTGAATAAAAGACGCTGAACCACTTTCACCAAGCAAAAAAAGTGGAAATCTGAAATAAAACTTATCACGTAATCGCGTAAATTATAAGCGTTTTACAAATTCTTTTTAATGTTTGGAAAGTTGTTCAGTATCATGAATATCTACGACTGAATTTCAGAATCGCGCACGCTTAAGACTAACCATGTACAATATAATTAAAATAATTAGGCCTTGTAATAAAAAACTATTTTTATTCTTACCTTTTTATTTTTTATAGGCGTCGAGTTTCCCAAAGGTTTCATTTTTAAAGTCGATGCAGACTCGCAGTCAGAGGTGGGGGACTTTAAATGATTAATACTAATTGCAGAACGCATAGGACTACTCGATCTGGTTAATCTATGCCTGTTGCAACGTAAAGAGCGCCTTGTAGTTGCATTCAAAGTGCTTGGTCCAGGTTTTGGATCCTCTATGGATGATGGAGGCGACGACAACTGAAAAATTGTACGCTTATGTAAGCTTAAAGGAGAATCTTCGCGAGATATTCTTTTACAATTACCAAATATTTTAATTCCGGAAAACATTTAAAACAGTACAAATCTAAGAAGGGTATCGTTTCAAAAAGAAATTAGTTCTATATTGCTAAAGATATTTCATATTACACTAATAAAAGATACTGTATAATACAGAATCTTCTTTTAGAAATCGATTGAAAATAATTCTTAATTATATTATATATAATAATAAAATATAAAGGAATATATAATATTATACATAAATTATTTAATTTACAAATCTTTTCTGTTTATCTATACGTTTGTGCTCGCTAATCTCAGAAACGGCTTAAACGATTTGGGTGTCTATTAGTAAGTTTGTCTTCATTTTATTCTAGTTTGTTTACAAACTAAAATACTTTTACGGGTACGAAATCTTGCTAATATATAATAAAATAAAGTACAATTGCGACCATAAGCACGAAGCATATTAATCTATGTAAGTATACAAAATTATTGACTTACCCTTGTCGCTCGAGAAAATAAAGTCATTAAAATATTCGCAGCATCAATTTCCTCGCCCGTCGTCTGGACTGCATCTACAGTTAAGAAAGTTAAAAATAACAAAAAAATAACTAGATAAGAAAGTGCTATGCATCTATAAATGAACTATTTTCTTTATGTCGATGTAAAGAAAATCTTGTCCAAAATATCATAAGGTGTTTATTATTAAATCAGTTAAACATCATAATTTATATCAAGACTGCCTCGATCTTTACCAATATTTTTTTTTACAAATAAGTATTTTCAGTACATAAATATATGCTGAAAAATATAATTTCCAAACAAAATAGATATATAATTAACAAATTTTATATGTATATAATAAATAAATATATAAAATATTTTTTTAACATTAGTTTCCTATTATTATAGTTAATACTAATGCAAGTATGTCTTTGTTTCTTTGTTACGTTTTCATGGCTAAACGGCTGGACGGTTCTTAATTAATTTGGTGTAAATAGATATAAATTTTATACATTAGCTATTTTTTATCTCAAAGATGTAGACTAGTAGTGTACTTCTTATATTTATTATATAATTGTATAATATAATAATTCTCACTTTGTGGATGGAAATACCGCGGTTGGCGTAGATCCATAAGGGCCTGCATGGCTTCCATTTCTGTGTTTGTGATTATTCTTGTCGATATTATTTTCATCATTGTTTAATCGTACTGGAAAATAAAATTATTGTGTACATTCAGTACCACAAAATATCCAATACATAATCCACACGTAACTAATATTTTAAAAGCGCCAATGGGACTGTCTTGTGTTTTATAACTAATTAGTTAAATGGATTTTGATGAAATTTCATATAAGTATTTGATTATTAGGTGCTTATATGAATATATAAATCGTATAAAAAAATAGTCCTTTATTATTAGACTCCAATTGGTCCTACACATATATTATATTGAGTAATTCCTTTAAATACATATATACAATCATATTAGTGATTTACATTCAATCAACAATTTTCTTATTTTGTACCGAAAATAATTTTAGATTTTAGATTCTATAATATATTCTCATTATACAAATAGGTATATATTATAATAATTTTATAAAATAATACTTACTGCTTCGCCTTAACTAAACTCAGCAATCCTTATATGTCAATAAGTCACACATGAAACACTTTATTTAATATATATAGATGATACACTCACTTTGAATATTAACTTGTACTTGAAAAAATATTGAAATTGCTAGAAAAATAGTACAGGACCCCTGTCACCACTCGCGTCGGACTGTCGATCTGTACTGATTTAAAATTCGCAAACATTGAATTTTATTATTTAACCACACAATCAGGTAAGAAAGTTCAACCCTTCAACCTTTTAGTTATCTGCAAATTTTTATTGATGAATAGAAACTAGTATATCGGGGTCCATTGTTTCGTGGGCGAGACAATACATCGCTGTTACAAAAATATCATCCTAATTACGAGTAGGTACCTATGTTCATATGAACTTACTTTATTTTGTTTCAGAATAGATCAGGTAAGTATATTTAGTAACAAAAGATTTCAACTTTTCTGAGAAGTTTAGTTAAGAACATAATATATTACATTTTTGCACGTGGCTTTTTATGAAGAAACTAGCATCTGCGTATTTGTCTGCATGCTTGGGATATCTTAAATGTCTATGGCACCTATCATAAAACATATAACTATGGTATGTTTTCTCTATTACAAATACTAAGTTTAGGCAACATTTTATTTATAATTTCTATATAAAATATGAAAATTATTGATAAATTAATTGAAATGATTGCTCCCTCTTGCGGTAATTCTTACGGAGGGTTTGATCGAATAAGGTTACGGCTCCTGATTAATCACGTACAGTCGTATCTGAAAAGTTTATAGCATAGTTAAAAGTCAATTCGTCTTATCTACAGAGCGATTTGACGATTGGTTTAATTTGTTAAAAAAACCTCCAATTTAAATTTAAACTTATTTGAATCCATTTCACATATAAATTCTAAAGAGTAATTAAGTTAGTACTTAGGCTAGGTAGGCAATTTCAAATTGTAATAATGTTAATATTGACAAATATTTCGTTGTTTTTAAATAACAAATAATCATTAGCTTCTCTATTGTCAGAACAAAATATTTTTAGCTATTGAAAAGTGCCCATTACGCACGTTAATTGATCGTTTCAAATTAGAAATAATATTATTTTTTGTATAAAGTGCCACTCGATGGACTTAAAAAGTTCTTAAATGGCCTTTTTTATTACATGAAAACAATAACTGAACACTATTAATTTTACATGGCAGATTCTGGTGAAGAGTGTTATTCGTAAATCATAGATTATTCCATTCTGTAACCCACAATTCAGGCAAAATAAAACTATTTGTAATATTTTAACCTCAGGCTTCAGAATCTTTATATAGGATGTGTGTGCTCGAGAGGTAGCGCTTCCTACGTTACGTAACTTTCGTAGCTTCAGTAGCACACAGGTTACGTGCCACAACGCGCGCGGTATTTCATTCGTAGCTATAAATCTTATTAATATTATATTCTAAACGCGAATGTTTGTGTTTATGGATGGATGTTTGTTACTCTTTCACGCAAAAACTACTGAACGGATTTTAATGAAACTTTACACGGGTGAACCGAGGGCACATCTAGTACATACATACATACATTGCTAGACGTGCTGCTACGCTACTTTACATTGAAGTCAGATTTTGATTTTATATCTATTTACATGAAAAAGAATGAAGTTCATCTCTTCAACTCAACTGTATTTTAGTAATCTACAGTACATCTGTAACGTTACTGAAAATTACATTTATACAGCGATTGTAATGATTCTTTTTAATCGTAGGTACCTACAATTAGTATTAGTATAGGGCTTTCATCAAAATCCGTTCTGTACTTTTTGCGTGACAGAGTAACCATCCATAAACACAAACATTCGCGTTTATAATATTATTAAGAATATTCCAAAGGATGTTGGCTATATTTATTACGTTAATATGTACACATGTTTAAAAGAACAAAAGCTCTTTGCCTTTTACCTGCGAAACTATTAAGAGAAACAATATGTAATCACCACATTGTTTTCATACAACTACGCTTTGTCATTTGTTGTATTTTGTAAGAATATTAGAGCAGTAAAAGATAGCCATCGCTTACTGTGTCAGTTAGTAAGTAGGTAGATATAGACATGTGTTATTGAAGTCAATATGAGTATATTGTCTTTGTAATGAAAAGAAAGGTACCTCCATATTAAAATGTCGGTATTAACATTATATTTGTATATCATAAAATCGTGACGAGATGAAATTGTTTGGTTGTCTGTTTGAGTGTTTAGGTTTCACGTAAAAACAGCAGGAGGAATATAATGATGATTTACAGAATATGTTATTAAATGTAAATCAACATATATGTAGTCTACAGAGATCTTAAAAAATACCAAGAAAAGTATAAATTTGTAGGTATTTTAATTATTAATTTCAAATATGGGTTAATTAATTTACTTTACGTTATATGTTTAATATAACGTTTATTTATTTAGTGGTTAGTTTATCGTCAATAGATGCGTCTAGAAATTTACACGAACGAAATCGCAGCTACCACTAGTATCTAATATAAATGTAAAATAAGTAGGTAAAATTATTTTAAAAAACTATCTTTAGATCCGAGTAATCAGTGCTGTCCCCAAGTATCGTTTAGATAAAGTCAATAGGTCTTTTATGGGAATAGGTATAAAAAATTACAATAAGATACCAAAGAATATATTGGAATTACCCTTAAATAAATTCAAAACATCTGTTAAATCATATTACTCACTAAACTATTACTTGAATGTCGAGCGTGCATGGCAATAGCTGTTCATGCACGGGATTTTCATTTAATTTTAGACACGGACACCTATATAAATATACATTGTATATAAACTGGCTTTTTAAAAAAAGTATTTCAATTCAGTTTCTTGCCAGTACTTCTCAATTAGATCTATATACTGAACTGTACGGTATAGGGAAAAAAATAAAAATATACAGAAAAAATTTGACGTTCATAAGAGTCTAAAATATCCCATATGAGTAAATGATTTTATGATTTGAATTTGAATAGATACAGACTTATTTTATCACGTTGACTGTGGACGAAGCATTAAGTATTGATATGAAAAAAAACAAGTTTCATTACATACACAAATTTTATTATTAGAAAGGTACACCATCATTTTATCAGTATCACCATCTTATTGTCAAACATTACATTACAATATAAATGCCTGAACAGATAGTTCAATTCACATTTAAAAAATATAATAATTAAAGGAACAATACAATGAAGAATCATTAAAAATCATTATACCTAATTGTCGTAAGCAATTACGTATCTAAATTATAAGGCAATACTTAATATGTCAGCTTCAACAATATCTTAACTTAAAAAAAACATAATTTGTCATTAATAAACACATTTTGAAAGAATCATTTCGTTATAATACAAAATAAAATTTCCTAATTCGAAAATTTTCTTTCAGTTTAATAATTAGACAAGTATTAAGTAAGATGTAGATTACTAAATTCATAAAAAACTTAAAAAATTAATTTCTAAAAAAGTAAAAAAAATTACGAGAGCATTTAAAAACTGCTCTTATTACATTAGCATTACTGATTATATTAAATTAAGTAAACTACCACGCTCCATCGCTATTGTCATCGCTAGTTATGTACGAGTAGTCAGTCCCAGACCATTCCTCGAAATCTGAGGTGGCAGGTAGATTCTCCTTGTTTCTATTGTACTGATGTTTATTTTTCTTTTGTTTCTTTGCGCGGTACATTTTACTTTCATCTGCGCACTTAGTCGTAATACTGGTCCTAAAAATATGTAATTGTAAAATTAGAAATTTCTTACATTGGAGTATGTTCGGTACATACAAGGGAGAAACAGAAATTAACAATATCACTGCAAATTCCACTTATATTAGAATTGCTTTCCTATCCTACATATTAAAATTCTATTCGCTTTATTGGTAGTCGTAGATATAGATTTAGATGAGGTACTATATTTAGGTAGGTATATGTAAATTCAATAAGATTAAATTTAAATCCCGAAAATGTATATAGAATTTTTTTTCCATCGGAATTCTTCTGTACAATGCATTTGGCGACGCCTTCCGCATCGTTAAAACAAATCTGCTAAACATCATTTTGCAAAAGATAGAAACATAGATAATAAGGTCATTTTATACCCGTTGTCTTAATGTATAAGTGATCCGTGTTTTTAAATTATATTAATGGCAAATAAGCAGACGATTATGAATAGAACGAACATCATGTGACGACCGAGATACCACTCATGCGTTGCCATTCCGGAGGCCTAAGCATATCCATGCATTGTATCTCATAATTTCACTATCTTATCTCGACCCTTCTAGCGAAACACATCTTACAAAGCTAGCTGTTTAGTGATTGATATTGGCTAGCATGAGGTATCCATGCAGATGGCAGATTCTTTTTAGAAAGTCTAAATATCCAAACTTCTAAATGGATGGACCGCGTTTGATAAGATTTTGTGTACACAAAACATTTCAATGGGTTCCTGGATAGTTTGAAAACATAATAGGACTCGGTAGCCGGTTGCTTTTAAGAGCAGATGACGTCTAACGCGTCCGTAATATACTAGACATTTATAAAAAAAACGTGTAAAAATTAAATTTGTTATAAATAAATTTAAAATAATTTTTGTACCTTACGACACTTTCTGGAACGTTGCAACGATCCATAACAGTCTGTACAATGTCATTAATAAGGATGGGGTTCAGTTTCTTCTTTGGGGGTCTACCCGGAAACGCAGGAGACGGTTTTCCCGTCAGAGAGTGAGTGGCAAGCTCCCTGAAAAATTAACAATAAATTAATTTAAAGTACCTATACCTGTTATAAAAGGAAAATATATTTCTGTTTGGCTCCAGTAAAGGAAACTATGATATCAAACCTAAATTTAATCCGAGAGATGGCGGTAAACTCCTTCCCTACCACGTTTTATTAACGGAATGGTGCATCCGCCTGCGCTAACGGTTTATGCTGGCGGCGCACCACGGCACACCTGACGTCAGTTAGCCATTGTAACAAATTCGCCAGGAATTTGTCATAATGGTTTTTTACAGTGGAAACCGTATGGAGATCAACCTGACTCCATTGCTAGTAATGTACCATACCTTGTTAGTAATGGGACCATCAGTCCCCATCACTAACAATCCCCTTTTCCCCCCACCATGTTGCGTTATTAAATACCGAGCGCAGTGTAGGCATGTCAAGTGTTCCGTTCCCCATAACGTGGAAATTTGACAATTTGGAGGTAACAGTCGTGACGGTATGAGTATATGTAATATACCTATTACGATGGAAAGTGTGTTGGTTAAACGATCTAATATAAGTACAAGTCGGATTTGAAAAAATCAACTTATTTTTGGTGGCTCTATTTTTACAGAAAGTTACAATTTAAATATCATGCTAAAACACTTAAGAGTCGAGTAAAAAGTAAGAAACTTAGAATAAACGCTAAGCGAAAAATAAGTATGGAATGTAGAACGCGATGTTACAGGAGGACTGTGAGTTGGAGCACGAGAATGATCGCGATTTTGTTTAAATTGTACCGCTGAGCACAGTTAGTTGCATTGGAAAGCAGAAGTTCAAACAACGCCATCTAGCCTCAACCTAAACAGAGATTGTGTCATAGACAACTGTTAGAATTACTTAAGTACATTTTTTTGTTAATACATTCATAGAAAACACTCAGATAAACAATTATATTTATAATTGTAATAAACAATTATATTCGAGGCACATAACATGATTTAAAATAAAAATATTTTACCGATGCGAGAAAACAGCATTCAACAATTTTCTTGTAGCGGCTGTGTAGGAAGACCAATTGATATTTTTTAATACTCTTGCCGGAACTTGTACATTACCTTCACCGATGGACACCTGAAATTTAGTGATTATTATATTTTCTTTTTAATATATTACATTTAATAATGAATTTTGTTGTGCAAATAGTTATCTTGGATATGTATGTGACGAAAAAGGTTAAAGACACAAATAAGTTAATATTATGTAGGTATATGAATCAAATTGTCTTAAACATCTGTTGTATTATACTTTATTTGAAAAAATATTGTATTATAAGTGAATTAATTATCAAATATTATTTTTATTATAATTTTTTAAAATAGGTATATGCATAAAGTAACAGACTAACAGACGGAGTAACAGACTCCTTTTTTTACCATTTCCCTACGAACAGCGTTTAATTTGTGTTTCTGTCGAATTCTTTTTGATACATTCGCCGCTCCTCTTTGTGTCAATGTAACAACCGAATAATTTTCATTTGCGGTCTGAAAAAAATATTAAAGTCAATTAAAACGTACTGATGTTCATGTTACTGCTAATAAATTAAAAACTTTCCGTTAAGTTTTTTCTGTTTAATTATTTTATTTAATACATTTATATTATTACTATTATGTACCTACTATATTTATTCACAACGATGGTAATTAAGAAAATGGTCCATCTAATGGTAATCGGTTACCGTATCCTATGGGCTCTTAAGAAACCGTAATAATAAACTCTTATTATTACGGTTTCTCTCTCTTATTATTACGGAGAACCAGATGCTCTAGAGAAAATATTGGCAAGTACTTTATTCCACAACCTGAGATTGCGTGGGAGGACAGTCTCTGAAACTACACTGTCACTACGTGGGTAAGGTTCGTGGGTGTGACGATAAATTCTCTGTCAATAGCTAGCGGTGTGATGGTAGAATGCTTTTTGGTTTCTTCCATGTTAGTTTGTATAACAGTAAGAAATAGCATATACAGCAGATTAAAAAAAGAACAAGAAAACTAGAAATAAGAAATGTACGCAAAAATAAAAAGTAATATTCGGAATCTTCTGATTGATTAATAAATAGTAGTTAGAATGAATGACAATGTTATGAATAAAAAAATATGACTATTCAAAAATGCTTTGCATTGTGTTTATTTCAATAAAGATTATTTCTATATCTATGTTAATTTACAGACCTTAATTTTAAAATTCGTTTGTCTATTTGGAATGGCTTTCGATTGAAAAATGTCTCTTGCATATCTGTCCATAACATCCCGTGGGATACACTTGCAATGTTTCCGGTAATAATCTAATAACTTTTGGACCCTTTTAATCTCCGCTTTCAGTTCTTCTGCGGTGCGTTTTTTGACAGTAGGCATATTTGCATCTATGTTCATTAAAGCCTTTTTCTTCTTCCAGAAAAACTCCGAAGGCAAGTGATCGGAGTTATAGTGTATTTTACGTGAATTTTCATCGTTACGCACTTTAATGGAACTCATTTTCCTGTCCTCGGTGTCTTTTAGGATACTCATTCCGCCTATGCTCTTTTGCAGTCCATTCAAAAGTGGCTCTTGTTTTTTTATGTCGTTATTCGGTTGTGGACTGGGCTGTAAAAAGTAATTTTTAATTAGTATTACATAAGGGTTTAATTTGTAAATATAGAGGTTTTATTTGTACATTTTTTTTCGGCCTCTATAAGTGAAGCACCCTACCTTACTTCGGCTGATCGCGGGTTCGATTATTCACACAAACATTTGTATCCATGAGTACGATTTTTTGTGTCTTGATGTTTTCTGTGTGTGTAATGTATATATTTATATAAAAAAATAAATGCATTTAAGTACGTATTTATATCAGTTTTCTAGTGCCTATACCACAAGCTCTGCGTAGCTTAGGACTAAATGATGCGTTATTTTTCTCCTTTTTTATGTAACTGGAACTTACGCCTTTCCCAAATAATACGGGATAATGAAAGGAAATGATGATACATTAATATTATATATATATTGCTCAACGGTTCACTCGAAGCACTATGACTCCTCTTTCTCGGTTACACAGATGTAAAATAAAGTTTTACTTACGTTCATATTCTGTTGCCACGAATCACTTACTGGGTCGCTTATGACAATGAACTTTGACTGGGACATATTTATTTCATTAATATTAGAATAATCGTCATTTTCCTGTTTTGCGGAATAAAAACCTGTTGCAAACTCTATTGGTCCATTATAGGAATTTGATGTGGGGTTGGACGACGTGATCGCATATGGTGTTTGCTGAAAATTTACAGTATTTATTATTCTAGTCCTGTATAACATACACTGTATAATATAACATTAAATTCGGATACTTCAGAACAGTTAGAACAGAATTAAATTGCAGGTATTTAGTTCTGTTCTAACTGTGTACCAGAGATGTGATTATTAATAATGGAGCCCCCATTACTAATAATCGCATGTCTGGTAGGGTGCTTTGTCTATACTTAGTCTGCGTGAGTACTTCGGTCACCTATCTTAGCCACCTTACCTATTTGTGCCACTAATGTCACATGATAATGTGATGTGTATGGTGTGTGCACATGTGTATAGGTGACGGTTACAGAATGTCTCCAATTACATAAACAGTAACTTAACATAGTTAATGTAAGTCTATATAATCTAAGCTCTTACCGTCATTACTGAAGTTTCGTGTTGCATAAGATGCACGTCGTTTATGGAGCTTGTCTGAATCATTCTGTAATCTATTATAGAAACAGTATCTTGTTAAAAATATAATAATATTTAATAGCTAAACCCTCAAACGAGAGAATATTATACCTAATAGAAGGGAATTATAGGGGTATTTGTTGAAGTATGAACAACTAACCCTGTAAATATAATAATAAATAGCAGAAAACTAACTAATTTTAGTAAATATAGAAATGGAAAATAATCGTCATATATATATTTTTAATAGCTAAAATATACTCAATTTGGACCTAATTTGTGGTTTCTACTTTAGACACGGAAAACACCATAAAATAATAGTTACTTCAACTCTCTGAAGCTATTATATACAAGTATCTACATGTAGGATTACACACTTTAGTCATGTACCTGTTTTTACAGTTTCATTTTGCGGGTGGAGATGACGCGGCATACTCAAATCCAGAAGACCCTCCATAGCATCCATTTCTACACTCGATATACTTGAGAATTGTGTCAGATCCATCAATGTAATTGAACTGTAACATAGATAATTATGATAAGAAATAATAGCTTATCACGTTATGATGGACAATGGAATGTACAGAGAATGCTATGTTAAGTATATCAACTGAAAATATGGACAGATAGACACGTATTCTATCATAGGCTACAACTCACAGTTACCAGTATGTTTCACTCACATCCAAGATCCCTCATCGCATATAATCATATAATATACGCTGAAGGTAACTTTATATTATCAACTAGCTGCGCCCGCGACTTCGTCTGCGGAAAATTTAACTTTATTTTTCTAAAATAAAAGAATATGTCTAAAATAAAAGTATTCTAAGTTACTCCTTATTACCTGCCAAAAAAAGTGCCGTGAAAATCGGTCCAACCATTTCAGAGATTAGCCGGAACAAACAGACAGACGGACAAAAATTGTAAAAAATGTTATTTTGGTGTATGTACCGCATTTATATTCATATGCATGTAGTAAAAGACGATTATTTCAATATTACAAACACTGACACTCCAATTTTATTTATATGTACCTATAGATTAGTAATATTCTTGACAAATCAACTACATATTATAAATAACAAAAAAATGCAAGATAATAAAAAAAACCAGGAATACTATTTCATTATAATTACTCACCTGTATTTTCCCAAACAACACGTAACTCACAATTAAATATATCTTTTATTATTACAAATAACTCTTATTGAAATATATATATTGTCGTATTTTAGGTACAAATCAATGTACAATCACAATTCACTTGACGTATGTAGCTGTAATTAATTCATACGAAAAATGCTAATGACAAATGTTATCACCATTCGGATGAAAATGTTAATGGACACTGATTGTAAATTTGAAAATATTCTGGTTTTATTCACAATAGTAAAGCTATGCACAACAGTTTTAACAAAACAGCTAGGTGCTTAAAAGTGCCCCTATTGTTTCAATAAGTTGTAAAGAATCAGGTACCTATAATACGTTATCTGCAAAGTTGTAGAAAAGAATAGGTTCCTACTTACGACACGTGTTGATTTTATTCTCAAGCAAGATTGTTTCGAACATTCTCGAAGTAATTATAGAAGTAATAAAATAAATTACCTACCCACCCTTTTTTTATTTTAAAAGTTGTAATAAGTAACACGTTGTATAGATCATTGAGGCAAAGATGGTATGTACATTTTACTTTAAAGTACATAGTACATATATATATCCAACAAGAGTAAGGGGCAGGATAGATTTTAAGGGTTCTTTGGCAGCCCTAAATACGCTTCTCTTAGGTCTCTTAGGGTAGGTATATCTTTTTAAATTCTATATATACCAATTTTATATCGATTACCAAGTTGGGGGCTCTTAATTTAACTATCCTATCTTAAATTTATATAATAGCTAATTTCACTACAATCAGTATACTAACTAACATCGTTGTTTAATAAGTATTACTATCATACGTTTTCATAAAAATTAAAGAATTTTATAAGCTTCTTTTATTTCAATATTTTCATTTACCGACTTTTTTTAATAAATTTAGTAGAATATATGGCCGTGGCAAGTGCTTCACCGATAAGAGCGTAGCTCTTAAATTATGAATGAATGAATGAAGTAGAATATATAATATAATATAATAGAATATATAATATTTCTACTAATACGACATTATTATACTCGTACGAGTATAATCCAATATGAATTATATAGAGATTTAACAACATTTTTACTACTAAATTAAATATACCTCACAGCATAAAATTATCATTTTTCTAATTATGTCTGACTATACCTACATATAAATAATACTTAATCTAAATTTTTCTCGTAAAAAAATTAAAACCTAATATTAGATTTTTTTACTTCGCAACCTAATATAGGTTCTAACGTAAAAATAGACAATAAAAAACAGAATTTTATAAGACGATTCACGAGACATTATGTAAGACGATTATTATATCTTAATAAATAGTTTTATGAATATGAAATAACAAAATCTAATTGACCGATCTTATATGATAATAAAATAAATTCTTATAATTTATTAGTATCTCATATAAAATGTAACAACAAGATTGTAGGTAGACAATCAAAACGGTGCACTGCAACTTACTCATGTTTCCTACTTCCCTATGACGACTTACCTACTTTTTTTGCGATTCTCACTAAACACTTGGGGTCGTCTATTCAATAATTTTATTACCTGCGCATGCAATAACGGTTGCGTTGTTCAACATTCAGTTGCCGTTTGAACTGCCTTCAAAATAGTTGACTATTTATAATAGTGTACATATATTGAAGAATTAAAAATATATTAGGAAACAAAATGGATCGTTTATGGCTACTTGTGGAATGGGTGGATGGAAATAATGTATTTCCGGATTATGGTGTGGTGAACGTAGATCCTTCGATATATAGCGAATACGACTTGAGTCCGGGAAGGGTTATACTAATTCGCGTGAGACACGAAAGTACCGCCCGAACAGGAAAAATATTGAACATCTCTGGTAAGTACAATTTTTTTTCAATGCTTGATAATGGAATTGTTCCCCCCTGTACTGACGGTATGCGCTACCGTCACCAGTGGAGGATGATGGGTAGAAAATGAACTGAGGTTAGTTAGCCCGTGCGTCGTGGAGAATTTACCACAAATTAACTACGGTGGTTTCTGGGGGACGCCGCGAGGAGGTCGACCTAATATTTGCGATGTGTCTTAGGTGCTTATTTCAATGTATTCTGTAGGAATTATTAGGTAAATACGGTTGTAATAATTCTAATTAGTCATATAAAACTGTTTTAGTCTTAATTTCCCACAATCTAAGGTATAATTTGTCGTAATTATAGTTGATAATGATAAAATATTAAAATAGTTTATGCACAGATATAGATAATATCTTTATTTATGTTAATGACAATTGTACGGAATATTTTCAAAAATTAGGTCGATTAGTACCTATATTCAACCTACCTACAAAATGTACCTACACAAGCAGATGATGATAGGACCGCGTGGTTCGACTAGAGGAATCGATCTGATGACACCATAATTAGAATTTACCCTATATTCTAATTATTTATGAAGTTACTATTTATAATATATACGAGTATAATCCTAATAGTAGCTTCGTATTTAGATATTATATACCTACCTACTTAAATACAACTAAATATATCCTTTTAATTTGCAGAAAGTAAACTTAATATTAAAGCCCATAAGAGATTATTACAGAAACAAGATAGTCAAGTGAAAAGTGTACTGTCAATGTGCATGCAAACGATAAAAGGAATTAAATCTGAGTCTATGGTAAGTAGAAATGTTATTTAAGTACCTTTAATTCATTTTGCATTAGCAAACGGACAGTGATACGTTATTAAGCTAGCAATTATAAAGCGCTGTACTAAACTGGTGGACGATGGTCGACAACGGATGTAGGTAAAGATTACATTCCAAGGAAAGATATCAAACTCTTCATATTATTTATAACAGAAGTATGTATGTCAAAAGTGATAATTACAATATAATAATTAATTGTAATACTTATATATGTAACCTATAGCGTAAGATATAATAATTATTATCAAACTACGTAATAATCTGTCATCAAGTATGTCTATTAATTGTATTATTAAATGTGTTTAATTTATTATATTATATGTATTCTAGTGCCACAGATAAGATAATATTACATGTAGTACTTAAGATATTCTTTGTTGCAGTATTTAAATGGGATGGAGATGAATTCATCGCTCGGATCCATGGCTGGCGCGCCGCAGGTTGTCGCCATTGATAATGATTCGTCGAGTAGTGATAGCGACAATGAGGTGAGTATTACTGTGTCTAGACTAATATTGTAAAGGGATGATGTATTTTGGTTTGTAATACATAAACTCTAAATATTTTTTTAAGTTCTATAGATAACAATATATATTAAATATTAGTAACAAAAAAGAGCTAATAGTATTCATAATTAAGAATAGATTAATAATACATGTAATAGTACGAAATCAATAGTCTCTTAAGTAATCACCATAAGCCATCTACTGCCTACTGCGGATTATATTCTCACCCATATTTTGCTAGCACAGCCCTGAGTCAGCTGACTAAAAGCAATATTTACCTTAATTTCGTTAGGACTTGCTATTTGAGACCCGTTATTTGAGCTACGTATGTAGTTGGTTCATATCACATTCAAGTTACTACTTTAAGACCATACCTACTATACTTTTGCTGCTCTTTATATATTAAATAAAAATATGGATGTTAGTTTCTAACAACAATTTTTTAGGTAATACAGTTTAATAAGTAGGTACCTACTTATTTTCAATATTTTCTTTCAGCCTCAAAGATGTATTTATTCAAAAAGACCACTCATTTCACCATCTATTCACAAACTAATCGATTCATCCACCACGAGTCGCCGCAGTTCAGTTGCTCACAGCAGTAACAGATCGTTGCATAGCAGCACACCGCTTCCAACACCCAAACCAAAAGTAAAAAGAGTCGACAGAGCAACGCAGACTGAAAACCGAGACGTAGGCTTAGACAATTTAGAAAATAAACTTAGGAAGCTGTATAGTTTATTCCTATCTGTTATAGCACGTCTCGAAATTAGAAAGGCAGTTGACGCAGCATTCCTCGATCGAAGGATAATGAAGGATTTAGAAAAACATATATCAGATCAAGCTATTGCGAGAAACGTGAATAGTATGAGTCTCGATGAAATTCTTGACGAGTTGAAAACTGCAACGTGTGAGAGAGAGTTGTTAGCGCGCAGGTTGCAAGATGAATTGGAAGCACCGCCAGCTAAACGGAGTATTTGCGAAGTGCAAACTGACACGAACCCTGCCGCCAGGCCTTTACAGCCGCGCACATATTCAGCACAAAAGACAACGGATATTGAGGCAAAAAATTCATCAAGCGACGAAATGGTAATTATACAATAATCCATAATCTAAAGTAGTATTATAAAGAGGAAAGGAGTTTTTTTAAGAAGTTTAAGTTTTTAGTTTGGAGTTTAAGGAGTTTTTGTAATAGAGAAACTAAAAAAATACATAACCGGTTTTACAAATTATTTCACCTGTAGATAATGTAGCTTTCATTATTGGCGAGAATCATGAGTTGTATTTTACGTTGGTAGTCACGCAGGAGACAGCTAGTAAGAAATAAAATGATAGGTTATGGGACCTTAAACACCTCCGTCAGACTTGGTTTTTTTAATATAAATTACCAGTTTTTTATATAAACCACTTCACATTTTTTATTTTATATAAATTAAGATTCCTAAAATATTTACATCCTTTCTAATAAGGGAGAGTCGCTGTCGCCAACACTATCTTTAACAATAATTGAGTTTTATTTATTTACAGGTACCAATAGGTAATGGTTATGCAAAAATACCGGCTAGATTTCTAAACGAAATTGATTGGAACTCATACACTACGGCTACGAGGCAGTTACTCCAGGCTGTATTTTCACGCAAGTTAATGTCTACCCATTTCTTTAATCCTCCTTAGAATAAACTAATATTCATAGGTACTTAGTGTATGGATACATTCTAAATAAAATTTGATATTAATATTGTAACATTTCAATGTTTTATAAATCCATAATATCTAATAATTGGTGTCACCTGATAACGTGATGCTCGTCAGCTTATTTGCCTTTCCCGTTATATAGTAAAAAAGTGTATATTTACAAAAAAAGAATTTCTATCAGTCGTTTATACAGGCTTTGTTTAGCTTGGGACTACCTAAATAGGTCTGTGTTAATTGTTCAGGGTTATTATTATGAATACTCGCAGTTCATTAGCTATATATATATCTGATCTATTTGTAATATACCTGCTTATTTTTTCAGGGTTTTAGCAACACATTCGCTAACAGGCAAACAGTCACCAGCCTTTGCAGACAAACCAGCAAAAAAGCGCTTAGACTCCAGATTAGTGGATGACATTGTTAAGACAGTATCATTACGGTGTGCTGTCCCCAAAAGGCTAGTAAGGTTTGTACAGCTACGTAATACTTAACAATTGTATTGAAGGGCGTTTTTAAATTTTCTGTTCATATGATTTTCAAACCAAATGTCGCTCAGATTTTTTACTAAAATATAATAGGAAAATTCTTGATATATCTGTATATAACTATTATATTTCTTCATAGTATTTAATTTTTCATAATTCTACCATTAGTGACATTTAGATTCCGTATTCAGTCGTAAAATTAAAAATAAATAAATAGGTATTTACAATAATACCTAATTTTTAAGAAAAGTGTGATCAAAATGTGGATCCACATGATGTAGGTATTGCTATGCTTATTAGGTGATTCCACACAGCTGTATTGAGAATATTTCTTGCTGCGCACCTCATTTAATCTTTTCGAGTTTATTCAGTTTTGGGCATTTGGAGACTAGTAGTGCCGACCGAGTTTAAATGTATCGTCTTTTTACTTAAATTTATCGTAGTTATATTGTAGACTACCTACAATATCTACGTTTTTAATTGTTATACTTGCATGTAAATTACAGGAACAGTATCACCGTGAAATGTACAGACGAATCCAAATTGTACCGGAACCGACAACTCTACAGACATTCGCTTCGTGAAAGCAGACAAAATAATGAAAATATCCCACCCGAGTCGGGGGTTTCATCAGATTAGTAAACAATTAAGTTATTAGGGATTAATTATGAAACGCCAGGTTTACAATTGTCCTTTGTAATAGATTAAAATATACCATTTTGCTATTATATATCGACCATGTCACAGTTGCAATTTGGAATCACGCCTTCATTTAGCCTATAACTAATCATTTTAAATGGTTCATACATATTTGCTAAATTATAGATCTGTTTCAATTGAAAAATGAAAGCAACAGCGTTACATGATTAAGTTATACCTAAAGGTAGGTAAGTGTAGATCTGGTACGTTAATGTTGTTATATATAATAGTGTAAAACAATCTTTATTAGTCAACATAATGCTACCTCGTTACCCCGAGATAATTGCGCCATTTTTGTGTGTAATATAATATTATATTTCAATTATAAGAACTGTAAAGTTACAAAATGTAAGTAAGTAATAGGCGAGTTATTGCGTCCATCGGATGATATAAGTAAATAAAAGTAATGAAGAACCTAGATCTCTAACCTATTTTATACTTAAAATGACCATAGACTCAATAAAAAGCATTGTTATTTACTCTTTCTTATTAAACAACAAATAAATAACAAACATTAAAAATAGTTACATTACATACATTGAAATAGAATGAAATATTACACAAATGGAGTAATTAACAAATCATCTTCATTATTTTATTGACGTTTTTGTGTTATAGCGCAGTTGGTAAAGTGATACCTGCCTACTTTTTCCTAAAGTAAATACTAAAATATTAAACCTACGGTATTTTATGGAAGACATTTTACGAAATGTGATAACATAATTTAGATCAAAATATTGGATAAACTGGTATTTTGTTGACGAGTACAAATTGTTAATCGTCCAATAATTAGTATATAGGAATCCTACCTATGCTTACCATATACCTACTAATTCAAAGAAACTCTAATTGATCCAAAGATACTAATGTATTATTTATATTATTGTGTTATAAATGACTTATTTTAATAAGATTTATTAAGATGAATGTGACTATAAATTTAAACTATAATTAATAAAATCTTATATTTTTATTGTGTTTTTTAATAATCCCTGGTTTTACCCAATTATACCATTCTAAATTACGCATCTTCATTCTTAGTTAATAATAAACGAATTAATTAAAAATGGCTATATACATAATTTTAATACGGTGGAACTATGAGCGAATGGGAAATGCCACCGAAATCCTTCTACAACTTCCTAAAAGATTGTTTAGAAATTGATACTAGATTGCTTGTCTAGAACTGCAGTAAGATTTATACTAGAACATGTAATCTAGAGCTGCACTAGCCGGCTCCTACCAGATTTGGTTGGGCAGGGAGATAAACTCAAGCGGTGAAGGTGAGTGTTGACGTACGTCGGCAGGGGGCGCTTCAAATCTTAAGGCTTAAGCTTAAGGTTTAAAGTGTGACTGACTGTCCTGGGAACTGATGGACGCAATGATTTTGTCAATCAATTTAAATAAAGACTAGTTTTTAATTAGATTGTTTTACTAGTTGTTAAACTTACATCTACGTGAAAGTCACGGACAAGGGTAGTCCTACCGGTGTCTTTTATCTCAACTAGGTATGATCCGTAATCTTTCTGTTGAATAATTATGAAATTAAGCGTTATTGCCAAAACAAATAAAATGCAATCTAATTTATTGCTCATAGAATAGTATTGTTCAAACATATGCTCCTACCTATACGGTAGGTTATTAGAGAAAAAGCAAGCATGGTCATGGTTCCTCTGGTATACTCACTTTACTCTTTGGGTATGCCGTATGGTTATATTTGTGTGTATGGTTAGAGTTATACCATAAACTCATTCTAATATTAATACTGAATTAATTTTTATCGCTAATCAATGTCGATATGGTGGACGTAACACGGTAATCAGAGCCACATAAACTAATTACAAAAATATAGTTAATATCCGTGTCAGATATCTTGATTTTATGGAAGATTTTAAAGCTAAAAAGCTAAAAAATATATGATATGAAACAACTTCGATACTACGTAACAATAAATGTATCTACCTATATATAAATAATTAATATAATTACCAAAATGTTTTTTTATAACGTACGTAACGTAACGTGTGTGTAAACTTATGTAATTTAAGTTTAATTATATAAAAATAATATTATCTTATCTGTGATAAAAATATAGGTTAAAGTAATTTTGGAAACTGAATTTTTTTTCCACATTATCTTTTCTACACAGAGAAAAAGAAGATTGCTTAAAGACTAGACTTTAGGCAATCTTCTTTTTCAAATTCGGATGTGGTAACACTGTTGAATTTTCTGTCATTTTTATTTCAAGTATTGCTTGCATGCATGTGCCTAACCTATTTACAACACGTAATAATATATATTCATATTATTATTAAGATTTAAAAGCCGTTTTGTAAAGCATAATTATCATGGATGATAATGAAGAAGCCGATATTGTAGCTTCAGAACACGAGCGTCTTATTAATGCAGTGTCTAAATTAGACAAAACACAACATATAACTGAGCCCACACGAAACGAATCAACCAAATCAAATACAGAGTTTAATTTGATAAAGAGATCAAATAAATTGAACCTTAATGATGTGGCGAAAGTCCTAGAAAATACAGCGCATAGTGTTCAAATAAGAAAAAAGTTGAAAAACAGTCATAATTTATCCAGTGTGTTATCTAAACCTTTAGAAAAACCACAGGCTGAACGCATTAAGAGAGCAACAGGATACGAACATGCCAAGGAAAAAGTTGGCCGATGGAATGCTGTAGTAGCTCGGAGCAGAACTTTAGATTATGTAGCTTTTCCACTTAGAAGTGGTACATCTAAACTTCAGCCTACTAATGAATTTATATCAAAGTTTGAACTGAAATCAGAACTAGAAAGAGAACTAGAAAAAATAGATCCACCAATTGAGGAAGAGGTGGAAGACGAAGAGGAGAAAATTTATCCCATGTCTTATTTAGAAATGGTGGAACAAAGACAACACATAGCTAAATTAAGAGCACAACAGTCATACAAAGCAGCGAAAGCTAAAAGACAAGGGAAAATAAAAAGCAAAAAATATCATAGGTTAGTATTCATAATCCTAACTTGACAACTCTGGTATTTATAATAAAAATTGTATGTTTGTAACATTTTTAAGTAACCTTAACTGAACTATATGGCAATTGAAATATAGGTAGCATAGATTATACTTTATCCTGGTTATTCACCAGATAAAGTTGCAGGCAGAAGGTACTTCTTAGAATTTCTGAGAATAAGTACTTATATAGTATATAAATAAAAATTCTGAACCCTGTTCGACTCTATTGGTATTGCAGGCACAGTACTACCCTACTACAACTGGTAACATTATTTGAAAATGCAGTGCACCCGCGGCCCCTGTTTTATCTGGCCCCCCTTGTAATCCGACATGGTCTATTATTGATTTTATTTTCACAATCTTCACTAATGCATGATTGGATAAATTTGAACAAGTTTGAACTTGTACGCATCACCACTGTTGTACTCGACACATAGGGTATTGTTTTGATTATGATTGCAAAGCATTATACTATATACAAAGTATTTATAGCTGTCAATCTGATGATTAAAAATCAGACTATAGAGATTTTGCATTTTTTTACTTTTTAAGTTAATAGAACTTATTTGTTAATTAGTTGTTAGTGGGTGGTCTTGTGGGTGTATTCAGCTCCTGACACAGAGCATCGGTTTCTCATAACTTTCCTGTATGCATTTTCTTTTGATACTATTCATATTTTATTTTCCACATCTAAGATTTATAAATTGTCAATAAATCTGTAATTAGGTCTTAGCTTGATGGTCAGACATTCACCATTTTCCAGTGATAAATATACTCTATGTGAAAGCTGATTCACATGTGAAACAGTGTATATATAAACAGTAATGTATATGATAATAATTATAGTATATACAAATTTTAGGGGTAGCTGTCCTCTCCTACACCTTTTGAATGCATGGTTGTTTAAAGTGTTTGCTAAATTAAGTGTGTAGTCAGATCATACTCTGGACTTGAAATAAATTATAAATTACTTTTTATTAATTATTTAAAAGTGGGCAGAACTATAGATTCCCAATAGGTGCCTTAGTGCTTTATGTTTGATGGTTGTGGATTCAATTCCTCGCATGGTACAAAGATTTGTATTCATGAGTATGATTGTTTGTATCAGTCTAGGTGTTTTCTATGTATATTATGTATGTATTTACAAAAAAAACATTGATGTATTTATACAGGAGTCCAGTACTCATAACACAAGCTCGGCTTAACTTGAGACTGTGTGTTTTTTCCAAGGATATTATATTACTAAGAATATTTCCTATTGATTTTATTTGTGAGTGGTAATCTGTCTAAAGTTCATGTCATTGCTTAAAAGAGAATTGGTTTAATTACAGAATACTGAAGAAGGAAAAACTTAAACAGCAATTGAAAGAATTTGAAGAGTTACAAAAGGTTGATCCAGAAGAAGCACTTAAAAAATTAGAAGCACTAGAAAAAGCCCGAGCCTTAGAAAGGCATACATTAAGGCATAAAAATACTGGAAAATGGGCAAAGAATCAAATGATACGAGCCAAGTATGACAAAGAGGTATGCAAATAAATTTTAAAAAATAATAGTTTAGGTAGAAAACTATAATTACAATTAGTTTTGTTCCGAAGTCCAGACATATTGAGTAATCAAGTGTTTTTGGTTTTAGGTAAGACAACAAATTTCAGAACAACTTGCAGTGAGTAGAAGTTTGACTAAAAAAGTAGAAGATACTGAGAGTACAGATGATGAAGCCGATGGCAATGAAGTTTTACCAGATGTTTCGTTAGCACAAGATCCTATGAATCCTTGGATGGTAAAGAGGTCTGATAAGTCAACTATTGATGCAACATTTGACTTTGGTTATAAAAAATATTTAAAGGATCGGATGTATAAGCGTAAAAGTGATAGTGATACTGATTCAATTGATGACGAAACCAATGAGGGTGGAAGTAAATATGACATTCTAAATGACAGTCTTAAAAAAATAAACGATCAAATAGATCAGGAGTCTAATAACAAAACAAGTAATGAAAATGTAATAAATAAATTTGATCACACTCAGAAAAAGAGAGTTGTACAAAAAACGAAAACAGTAACCGACATTAAAAGTACGGAAAAGAAAACCCCAAATAAATCAAGAAGGAAATCAGTAAAGACAAATAAACTAGTAGCTACATCAAATTGGGTAGTTGAATCTCTTGAAGACATAGGAGAAGAAATATATGATACTGAAGAAGACATTACATCTGCATTTGATTCTTTAGAGAATAATGTGGTAAATAAAGTAGAAATGAAGTTAAATAAGCTTAGGAATACTATTGAACTGTTACAAAATAAAGAAAAGAAAAAGCTATTCTATAAAAAACCGCAAAATCAAAAGAAGATTAAAGACAATACTGAATATTTGGACTTTAAACAACAAAACAAGAAAGCAATTATTGATGAAAGTTTAATTGAAACTGACAAAAGAAATATTGATGAAGTTCAAAAAGATATTAGTTCTATTACCAAAGTAATGCTTAGTCCAAACACCGCCGTGGAAAACACAAATACAAATATAGACCCCAGCAGGTTTATTGAAGTGAAACCAAAATATTTAAATAGTGTTCTTCCTAAAGGTGATGAGTTGGATCAGTTAGATGATGATGAACAAGTTGTGCCAAAAGTGAATATTGAAGAAGTATTTGAAGAAGATGATGTCGTAGCTAGTTTCAGACAAGAGAAAGAAGATGAAATAAAGAAAGATCAACCAGAGGATATTGATTTAACATTACCAGGATGGGGTAGTTGGGGTGGAAAAGGTATTAAAAACTCCCAAAAACGTAAAAGGAATAGATTTATTCTTAAGGCCGCACCAAAAACGCCTAGGCGAGATGAAAATAAAGGAGATATTGTAATCAAAGAGTTTAGCAACCCTAAATTGACTTTGCATAAAGTAACTGACATACCATTCCCATTTCAAAGTGTTAAAGAATATGAGGCTTCTATCAGAACTCCAATTGGTAACACATTTATTCCGGAAAAAGCTCATAAATTGCTAATTCGTCCTGCTGTTATTACAAAGGCTGGTACAGTTATTGAGCCAATGGATGAGGAGGAATTGCTTGAACGTAAAAATCGTATTTTTGACAAAACAGATGTTATAAATCTTTTAGCAAAGAAATAAAAGGTTTTAAAAATGTAATTATGTTTTATTATCAGTTATTTAAGACTTATTATATTACACACCAACACGAACTGGAGGTGAAACTAAGATGACACCATCACCCCTCACAAATAACATTGGTATATTTCTCTTTGTTGTTCTATAAACTTCTTCATAGGTTTCCTCATCAATTTCTACAGTAGTAATAGTTTCTTCTGCATCTCCAAGTACCATATTTAAATGTTGATCATAAGCCTGCATGACAAAAAATGTAAGTAAATAAATGCAAGTCTTCAAAAAGTGTATTGGAAATGATAGGGACAATTTTAACCCTGCATGTTGCTATTTGCAATATACACCTTAGTTATCTAGGTTGTTCTTAAATTATGTTACAGAAAGAATACATTCCCATCAATTATTATTCAGACATTATTTGTAACTAATACCTATGTACTCTATTCTTGTTTTTCCACAAGTTGTGATAAGACCTAACTGAATATATTTCAAAACTCAAATCAGGGTGTTTTTAACTTTGTCATCACCTATACACTTGATAGATTAATTTTGAATAAACAAAGAAATCCAATTTTTTTAAACTAAATAGAATTTATTTAGTGATCAGCTGATATAATGTATTTATTCAGACTAGTATTTCACATTATAAACTAATTATGTACTAGGATCTATTGACAATCTCCCTGTTTGGCAATAGTTGCCAAAGGCCTTCTCCAACAGTACATCTGCTGTAACTATTTTGTATTTAGATTTCACTTGTACTTTTTTTGGAAATATGTATTATATTTAGTGATGATTTAGTTAGAGCTTGTTAGTAATAGCATTATAGTCATTTATACATAAAAAAATATATAATGTAATTTTTACATGTTAAGGCATGGTTATTTTTTAAGAAAAAAATATAAATGATACTTACATGAAGTTTGCCTCTCAGTTCTCTTTCATTTCGCATCTTCACATATATTCTTTCATCTAGGCTAAGTCTTATCAAATCTAGTGGTTCTTTTACTGTCATTACAGTCACCTGTAAAGTAAGAATTATACAGGTTTATTACAAATATATACTAAATCTGCTACTAATTACACAAGTAGGTAGTAAGTACTAATTATACAAGTTTTATTATCTTTTTTTTTCTTTTTCTATCTGCCATCAGCCTTATGTCTATAGTCAGATATATTGATATTTAAGGTTTTATTATCTAAGTTTTTAAATTTAGGTTTTATCCTAATTTAGCTCAATTTTGTTATTACCTACTAGTTCTATCCTGTAGCATGGTCCATGTGAATCTGTATCTGTGTACCAAATTTAATTTGATTCCATTCAGTCGTTTTTGTTCGCTATCTTACCTTTAACCTTCAGAATCTTTTGCATTTAAAATTTTCATAGTACAATAAATACTTTATTATACTATGAAAAGTATAAATATTTATTAATTATGTTTGCTTTACTTCAAATAATCCATCAAGTTATATATCTGCTGTACCAAACAAAATTGTGGTGCTGGACAATAAAATTAGTAACAAGGCCAAAAAACTGTATTACAACATAACACAACTTAGTTTAAACTCATCTGTATTTTTACTCTTATTTCAAAAGAATAAGAAATTTCTTGTCAGTTCTTCTTCGTTTGAAAGCACTTCCAATTTGATGGCACATTTGACTTATTCTGTTATTGTCTCTGTAATAGACCTAAATAAAGAAAGGTACCTTACATGACTTGATGTTTAAAGTTAAATTAGCACACAACATCTGTTTACTCATCTACTACCACTCTAGAAGACCTAACATGTCAACATTTTGTAATGAATCCTCTGTGAATGTTCACATTAGCACAGTTACATAAATTACTCCGTAAGAAGTTATTAAAAACAAAAAGTGATAATATATGGATATTGAATCTAGGGATAAATCTCTTGAATTCAGCTCGACCTATACACTATCTTTCTGGAAACGATGATCCCGTAGAATACTTTGCCATGATGGGTTAACAGAAGTACCTAACTTCATTCACATTCATCATTCCTCACTGGTGCTTGGACAGCGTGTACCGTTACCGCAGGCGCCCATACCACACCATTAAGATAATATAAAATAAATTGAGAATTTTCTAAATTTAAAGCTAATTTGTACTAATTCATTGAAAGTGTAGTAATTTTCAATAATGAATTGGGGAAAATATATTGAAATTATACTTACATTTTCACCATCATCAGCCATTATTTTAGAAAATAATTTATTTTAATTACAAGCTAAAATAATCAGTTGTATACGCAGTATCAAGTGTATATGTAATTGTATACGTTCAGATTCGGAAGTTATTTGCGATTCTTATTTCAATAACCGAAAACTCGAAGGCCGACGAGAATTTTAAGGTTATGTTATTTATTTGTTTGTTTTCATTTAGACGACACAATTTATAGTAATGCCAAAGTATATTGAGATATCTGTGGTTTAGAGATTAAAAAAAAAAGATTATTACAGTACACAAAATATTAACTTTAATATACTGACAATCGATCATTAATTATGAGCTTTAATATATACACAAGTCGCAGATCTAAGTGGGTTAAAAAATAATCATTTAAGAAAAATCTATCGTAGTTTCTAAAAAAAATATTTCTACATTATAATACAATAAAAAAAATCTTTTTATGATACAGATGATAAAAAATGGTACATCCCTAGAGTAGATATAATAAAGTACTCTGTGGTCAAGCCAAGTGTAATCTAAGAATTTTATCTGTGGTCTGCAATTTCCTTACGACTCTTGTACCTAACACGTTTTATTGAATTTATTTAATTTAAAATCACTTTTTAATTTATCAATATTATTACGGGCTTATTGAATATACAAATGTCTGGAAATTAATTGAATAATCGACACTATTCAAGTCAGCGGAACTGTTGTTTATTTACACTGTGTAATAAATAAGTATGGTACGCAGCGGGTAAGCTATTGTGATTTCTCTAATTCTTATACAAAATATATTCCAAATGTTTGACATCAGTTTGTAATGAAATTGGGCTTAGTTTATTAACAATATTTAGATTTACATTAATATTGCTCTAATCATGTAAATTTCTACTCAAATATATTACTGCTCCTACTAGATAACAAGTTCTATGACGTAAATAAATGTAAATTTAATGTCTCTCATGGACTTAAACCAATCAAATAATTTAATTTTTTTTAGCCGAGATCGCGATCGAAGGCGGTCTCATAGCCGATCGGCAACTCCAGATCGTAAACGAAGGAGGTCTCGTTCAAGAAGTCGGGACAGAAATTCAAAATCGTCAAAGAGGAAACGTAGTCGTAGCAGAGATCGGGATTCTAAAAGAGACCGAAGCAGAGATCGGGATAGGGATCGGGATCGGGACAGAAAGAGGTAACATGCTGTTATATTTGTATACATATGTAAATGTCACTCAAATATCAATGTAACAGTATATCAATACATACTACTTAACCTTTTATTTGCTACGAACTCGCTAGGGGTGTCAAAGCTACAGTATGTCTGTGTGCACCCCATTATTATGTGTGTACTAGATGTTTACCTACTGGAAAAGTGTATATTGCTTGCATGCCAAACAATTTTAAGTATCTACATTAGATTCAATTAACCTTTCTGTGCTATATCTAAACAGTTAATATTGGTATTGTTCTGATACATATACTATTGTAAATATATGTTATGTGTTTCATCACTAACAATATGTCATAACAAAAGGTGTCTTAATTTCTTTTCAGTTACAAGAAGGTTTCTTAATGCTGTTGTATTTTATATTTAGCTGTGATTATTTTAGAAAGGTTTTAAAGTTTATATTTAAGTTTCTATACATATGTATAGAACCTAAAAATATTTAAAATAGGTGTATACCTATTTTAAATATTTTTACTACTTTACATTTATGTTTTTATAGTGATAAACGAGATGATAAAAGAAATGGTTCAAGCAGCAAGTCTTCTAGAAAGAAGTCAGCAGAACGAGAGAAAGATAGATCAAAATCTAAAGAGAAAGCTACTAAATCTGAATCTGGTGAATATGACCCAGGTTCTGTTGACAAGGTCAGTATTTATAGTCTATTAGTTATAATACTATCATTTTTATTACTCACAATACTGCATGGTATATAGCTTATATTACTATCTAATAATGGAGATATCTATTGTAAATAGAATTTTTGAAATTGGTCAAGAACAATTTTTATTTCATCTACTACAGACAAACATATATAAAAATAATTTCTTCTTCATAATATTAGTATAAATTATTGGTGTTAACCACTTGTTAACCCTTACTGGGTATAAGATTTCCCCTTAAGAGGTAAGAGGATGATAATGACGATGATGAGGTAAGTCACTAGGTAGCTTAATATAAGTTTTTCTATCAGCTGTAGTGTCAAAAGTGGCTTTTGTATTTTAAAGTATTTTGGTTTGCAATTGCTTCAAGTTGTAAATAAGTTATCATAGCATTCTTTATCCAGACTTGATAGTATAAAATATTTACAACAAGTTAAGAACTGTTAACTCAAGTTAACTAAAATTTAAACTTTGTACTTTTATAAAACTAACTAATATAAAGTCCTTCATCAATTTCAGATAATTAAAATGTTGGTAAGAACTTAATTTACGTTTATGTCAAAGTGCTTCATATTCAATGTTGTATTTTTATACTAAACAGTTTCTCAAATTGTATGCAATATTAAGAGTGTAATATGGAACTAAATTTTTTACCATTTACCATACATAAGAGAAATCATAGGTGCCACAATGTATTTCGTATTTTTCATTCTATTATTCGTTTGTAAGGATGGATCAATCAGATTTTTTGGCGCTCGATAAGGATGAAAGGGTGGGATAATAGCAGGTGGTAAATTTATTAAAATAAAGCATGTTGTTTCCAGTGCGATCATACTTATCAAATCTACTTGATACATTACTATGTAGTCTTCATTACTAAGAATGTTTTCTAGGGCAGCAGTTTGTTTGCCTTTCCATTAAATTATATGGAGAAAAATAATCTGAATTGCAGTAAATATTAAAAATTAATTTTAATATTTACTGCAATTCAGATTATTTTTCTCAATGTAATTTTATATACTCTTTGTTATAGGAAGAGGAACAGAGTCGTTTAGAGGCTGAAATGCAGAAGCGACGTGATCGTATTGAGCGTTGGCGCGCTGAACGGAAACGCAAAGAGTTGGAGTCTGCTAAGAAAGAAGTACAGAAAGGTAGCATTGTGAGCAATATCCAGCTTCCTGCGAAGAAGTGGTCATTGGAAGACGATTCTGGTGATGAAGGTATGAAAAAGTAGTTTTAATGAGGGCACCATTTAAGGCTAGGTAGGATGATTATAACAGTTAGCCAATTGTAGCATATTCATTACAATGAGAGTGTGGTCATTTTAGTCAGCAAGTCAGTTTACATTGGAAAGATATGCATGATGTTATATAGTACAATAAATAATTGTTAATATGAATCATAAATTATGTCACCATTTTAAGGGGGGAGGAGTCCACAAAGTCTGAATTATATAAAAATTGGTTGATCACAAATTTTCGGCAAAATGATATTATGATAAAATCTAGGAGACCCTTCCCTATGCTTAGAGTAGGGTGCGGTGCCAGTCCCAATTCTTTCTTTACATAACAATAAAATATTTCAGGTGAAGATGGAGAAGCCAAAGAGAAACAGCCTGTTGAAGAAAAGAAAGAAATAGAAGATGAGATTGACCCATTAGATGCATATATGCAAGAAGTCCAACAAGTAAGTCTTGTCCATATATTTTCAATGTTAGTGCCACAAACACATTATTGCACAAATAAAAATAAATAAGTAATGCCATAAATAAGTCTGAAAATAAATATTATTTGTAATACTACTAGAAATGGTTAAAATTTGATATACTTGTTTCTGCATTGCATTGTTTCTGCAAACCATTTTATTTTTAAATTTATTGTGTTTTAAAAGAATTTAAAATTAATAAATTAAATAAAGGATGAAAGTTTCTGTCGACGAAGTTTGCTAATTTATTAATATTAATTATAACTTACAGGAAGTAAGAAAAGTCAACCAAATGGACCAAGCTAGAGGTATCAGCGTGCCCACAACTGGTGGAACAGGGGTGGTTATCCTTACTGGAACAGCTAAGAAAAATGTTTCCGAACAGAAAAATAAAGGTACTGAATTGTAGATATAGATTAAAAAGTGGTTAGTGTAATGACATGGTAATGAAACACTATTGAAAATTGCTATTATATGTGTAAGGGAAGTTACCTCCGAACTTCTCACATTAACAGAGTAACTATAGTGGTGTTCAAGTAAATAACGTAGAATAAGATAAACAAAATATATTTCTAATCAAAATAAAATAATATAAAAACACATTTAATACAATATACAGATAAGTTATAGATACATCAATACGACGACAGACAAGATGACAAAACACACTCTCTTTTCAAATATTCAAACATACTTCATCTGCCATACCAGCCAGTCTAGACATCGATTGCAAACCTCGTTCTAACAATATATGTAGTGCCTAGATTGCCACAAAAGGAATCTACTTAATAAAAATCTCCTAATTTAGACTTTGTACACAGTTATTTTCATGGGTACCTCTGTTTTATTTATAACAACTGCCAAGCAATTGTCTCTGTAAAAAGTGTTTCGGTTGAAGGGAGAGATAAGTGTAATGAAATGTTACGGTGCATTTTTTAATGTAATTGTCTGGTTATATATAATAAATATGGCTCATTTCAATGTAACTACATTACAATACAATTCTAAACTCAGTGTAATAAAAAAATTATGCAATTATATTTACCAAAGTAATTAATATTAATCCAAGAAAAAAATTTCTTTTTAAAAGTATAAAATGACTAGTCCTATAAATTAGCTAATTGCTTTGACTCATAATATATATTTCCGAAATAGGTGAACTAATAGAACAGAATCAAGATGGATTAGAATATTCGTCAGAAGAAGAAACTGAAGATATAAAAGATGCTGCAGCCAATCTTGCGTCTAAACAAAGAAAGGAACTTGCAAAAGTTGATCATGCCAGTTTGAATTATATGTCATTTAGAAAATCTTTCTATACCGAGGTAATTCAAATTTTATATATTTTTATTACTATTATGAAGTTCATATCTGTAATTCAAAGGTGTCAATCGGAAATAGTTATTATTAATTAAGTAATATTGCATTATAATTAATTACTCGAAAAATGTACCTAAAATATGTTCTCAATTTTACTATATTTCTTTTGTATATGTGAAGTGATATCTTTGAACTTTTCTGAACCGTTACTGTTGATCTCTAATTAATGGTTCCGTAGGTTTATTCTCATGATACCAATAATAAGATTTATTGGTCAAATGAAACTTTTATCATGATTGATGTTAATAGGTTTTGTGGAATAAAATCTTAAATGATCTCTTTTAAGATCGGTCCTTGACATTTTGTATTCAAATATAACCAATGAAATGTGTGCATGTCAACTGTTGTGTTCACCAAAACTTCGACAGTTGACAATTCCCCTGATTACCCCATTTGGCGTTACTATTATGATGATATGTTTTGTTTAATAGGTTAGTGAATTGTCGAGAATGACGCCAGAAGAAGTCGAAGCATACAGAACGGAATTAGAAGGTATCAGAGTTAAGGGCAAAGGTTGTCCAAAACCTATCAGAACATGGGCCCATTGTGGTATCAGTAAGAAAGAGATGGATATATTGAAAAAGTTGTGCTTTGAAAAGCCCACCCCTATACAAGCTCAGGCCATACCTGCTATCATGTCAGGAAGGTAATTCTTTGTTTTCTTTTTAGTGGTTAATCTTCAACGCCTAGTATTACTACATCAGTCTATTATTAATATTATACTGGCAGAAAAATATTTAAAAAATCAGGCTTATAGGTTTTCATAAATTTAATGTATTCCACAACTTTATTATACAATATAGTAGTTGTATATTCATTGTTTGTTCTATATAGTACAGTTAATAGGTCATCAAAGATTTATAACAAATTGATGTTAATCATGTGTATATCAGTTATAGTTATTATAGATTATATTACAGTTATTGTATTATCTATATTATATGAAAAAAGTTATTTAGAAATCGTATTTTTTATTAATTTTTAGACTACACTAACTTGACTATTTTAGTTTTGGTAAAAATGTAGCAGAAACTTTTTTGTTACAGAGACTTAATAGGCATTGCTAAGACTGGTTCTGGTAAGACATTAGCTTTTATTCTACCAATGTTTCGCCACGTACTGGATCAACCGCCACTTGAAGACACCGATGGACCAATGTCACTTATAATGACACCAACCAGGGAGCTTTGTATGCAGATAGGGAAAGATATCAAGAAGTTTGCCAAATCATTGGGATTACGGGTGGTTTGTGTTTATGGGGGTACTGGAATCTCTGAACAGGTTAGTCTTGTTTTACACTATCTGTTTCACTGGTGTTGCCCATATAAATTCGGGTGAAAATGATATATATTAATATAGAATTTGACCTATCCGTGTACAAAAATTTATTTTTATACATGCTAATAACATGGTGCACCAATGGTGCGCTAATGGTATACGCTCGCGGAACACCGTTAGGACAGTTAGCCCATCATGGCGAATTTTCTAAAAACCATGAGGGGCGACTGCGTGAAGGTCAACCTGACATTAAACATTGCTAGTAATAGGACATCTAGTTCCCATTACTTAATCCACCAAATTTATTTTATTCCACAAGTAGTTGCTGAAGAGGTTGAAGCGAATTATTGCTGGAAAGCGCGAATGCCGGTAAATACTTTTGCGATCCAATTTAAGGTAAATTGAATCGCAAAAGAAATTACCGGCATGTTTTAATTCAGAAATCCAGTCAAGTATGAGTCGTTACTAAAATATGGGTCCTAACAAAAGTATTTGTATAAATTCTAAACATTTGCAGATAGCGGAACTAAAGCGTGGTGCTGAGATGATAGTATGCACTCCAGGAAGAATGATAGATATGTTAGCTGCAAATTCGGGTCGTGTAACCAACCTTCGGAGAGTTACGTATGTTGTGCTCGATGAAGCCGATAGGATGTTTGATATGGGATTCGAGCCACAGGTCAGTATAATAAACTAAAGAAATATTATAGTTATTCTTTTAAGCTATTTTGCAATGTATTTTCTTTTTACCGACGTGTATGCTTCATATTGTATATGTGATTTTTGAAAAGAAGTGTGAAAATCTAATTAAAAAATGTTTTGCCTTCAAGAACAAATTGAAATAAAAGTTTTTTTACAAGTCCAAGTCAAATAGTCTAAGTATTTGTTTATTGTTTTTTTTTTACGCAATTTATGATATATATATTTTTTGAATAGGTTATGAAAATCATCGATAACATAAGGCCAGACAGACAAACAGTGATGTTCAGTGCCACATTTCCGCGGCAAATGGAAGCTCTCGCCCGAAGAATATTACAGAAACCCATAGAAATCCAAGTATGTATTATGTGCATATTTTTATTAATGTTGATGAGTTTGTTTTATTTCCTAAATTCGTGTGACATTCCGTTGTTACATATTTCATGTTAGTCAGTGAATTTGGATAAATTCGGTAAATCCACAGTTTCATATGACACATGTAAATTAGTAATAATAGACAAACTACTATATAAATTCGTTTTAAATTTATTTTGACTTACATTGAGGGCCCCGGTTGTCTAATGGTTTAGCACATCGCTTTACTCCCGACGGTCGCAGGTTCCATTCCTCGCACGGTACAAACATTTGTAATCATGACTATAAATGTCTATGTCGGTTTGGTTGTTTTCTGTGTATAATATGTATGTTAAAAAATAGCTGATTATTTATATCAGTTGTTTAGAAGTCATAATATAAACTGCTTAGCTTGGGACTAGATGCCGTTGTATGAATTATCCAGGGTTATTATTATTATTAAGAGTAGTTAGCAAATGCCATTTTTCCATACTGCATAGATTTTTGGCAAAGTTTTTACGGCCGGCCGCCTGCCTGACACCAACGCTCCTTGGGAACGCTATTATTGGTTGTTTAAAGTCCACCATAGAGGGACCCGTTAGTACTAGTTGTTATGGGATTTCGTTAAACTCTTGTTGTCTTATTACAGCAAGCTATTTTTGCATAAGTTTGATTAGCATGCTAACCAAATTCCAAGTTTTTTTTCTTCGTTCCCTGGTTAACAAAGCAGTTAGTAGTTAGCAAATGCATAAAATTAAAGCCGAAAATTTAGTAACTAGTTAAAAATGATTATGATACTGTTCACAGGTTGGTGGTAGGAGTGTAGTATGCAAAGATGTGGAACAACATGTTGCGATATTGGAGGAGGACGCGAAATTTTTCAAATTACTCGAGTTACTTGGCTTGTACAGTCAGATGGGCAGTATTATAGTATTTGTGGATAAACAGGAAAACGCCGACAGTCTCTTGAAGGATCTTATGAAAGCTTCTTACTCGTGCATGAGTTTACATGGCGGTGAGTTCACCCAAAACCTTAATCATGTTTTGTCCAATATAGCAGTTGGACATCTGAGTTAGGTGTTCTATCAAGCAACTGGCTCGCAGTTTATGGGTACAGAATTAGCTACGTATACAGGGATGGAGCCTTGAAATATATATTTTATTGAATTCTTTTAAAAGGTTACTTCATATTTTATGTTATAATTGTAGTTTTGCTCAAACTGATAGCAATATCTTTATTAAGCTGCTTTGACAATTTAGTAATAGTAGAGCAATAGCCTCTTTTTATGAAATCTTACTTACATTTCAAAAGGATTTTACTGCATTGTTATGGGTTCAGGTATGAACGGTTGAAGTATAAAGATTAGGCAGTGAAATTACAGGAGCATGACCTCTTAGTCCTTTAACATGGTTATGCCAGAGCGGTATCGTACTCGTCACATTTTAATGTTATGTTCGTAGCGACTAGCGTATGTTATGTTATGTCATGTCATGCATATTATCAACGGTTACTACTCACTTTCTTGTGGGTTTATTTGCCTTTCCGTTTACGTAAAAAATGAGTGAATGCATTTAAATAGACAGATTCAGTTCAGTGATTAAGTTTTATAAATATCATATAAAAAATAGAAGTAAAATTTATCTGAATTTGTTTATTTTTTGTAGGTATTAGCTAATTTTGGAAAGGGTAAAGGACCCCCTTTTCCTGTTTACCATGATCAAGATGTATCTTATGTATTAGTCTTCTACTAAAAGTACTAAATTTATAATATTTTTATTTCAGCAAACGATCCTGTCACAATGCTGTTGAAGATTGTTTTCCATTACTTGTCTACTTAAAAATGTTTAAAATTATTTGTGGTCTAAAAGTGTTTGCGTGCTGTATTATATTCATACATTTCGTTTAGAAGTTATATAATTTCTAATCACAGTATTTTGAAATAGCGTTACGGGATTTGCCAAGTAAAAATAGCCAATAATTAAATGGTATAAGGAACAAAATAATTTAAATCATAATTTCCAAAATATGTTGAATTTTTTAAAATAATACTCATATTAATGAAGTAATTGAAGGATGGAAACTTTTCGTAAATGATAAAAGTTATTTAGGGGTTATAATTTGACAAGAACAAAAAATAAATGAAATAATCAGTTATTTATTGACAAAAAAAATTTTTTTTTAGTTGTATTCAAATTCAAAATATTAACATTTTGAATTAGAATCAAAATTAAAATTGTTTCTGTAAAAATATCAAAACTGTAAAAATTACCGTTTTCTTCTAATTAGAAACTAGTTTTTAGTAATAGATAATGATTTAAGGAGAAAGGTTTACATGTATTATATATACACCCGCGCGAAGCTGCGGCGGGTAGCTAGTACATATATATTATTAGGTATTTTATAAATGTATATTATTTGGCAGCAGGCAGACACTTGTCGATCTACTTAAGTTTTTGAGTGACGTATATATTAATGGTGGGTTGTTACAGGGATTGATCAATTCGACAGGGACTCCACGATCGTGGACTTCAAGAATGGCAAGGTGAAGTTGTTGGTGGCGACCAGCGTGGCGGCGCGCGGCCTCGACGTCAAGCAACTCGTGTTGGTTGTTAATTACGACTGCCCCAACCATTATGAGGATTATGTTCATAGGTAAATAGTAATCATTATTTTATTCTCCACTTAATGCTGCGTATCTCATATAATTTTAATGACGTTATAATTCAAATGAAGTTTATGTTGAATGAATGAACCCGCCCCATGAAGCTGTCAACTCAGTTATCCGGGGGTAGTTGTCCCGAGTCGATGGGGCTCGCCCCGAGGCCCCTACCTTCACCCTCCTGGGCGGTGTTGGCGGTGTTAATTACCAGTGTCATGTTTACGATGTTTAATAATATCGTAAATAAGAATACCACTCCGCAGATTGAACTAGTGATAAAAATGCATTCTATTTGACGACCCCGGTGGTCTATTTCCGATGTTCGCGGGTTCGATTTTATGTTTTCTATGTATAATATGTATTTATTCCTGAAAGAAAAATTTCATGTATTCGTATCATGTATTTAGTACCCATATCACGAGCTTTAGCTACTTTAATGCCTAGGTGGCGTTGTGTGAATCATTCTGAGACTATTATTATGATAGAACTAGCTTATCCCGCGACTTCGTCCGCGTGGACATTAACTTTATTTTTCTTGAATAAAATATTTTTTCTAAAATAAAAGTAGCCTAAGTTACTCCTTATTACATCAGCTACCTGCCAAAAAAAGTCCCGTCAAAATCGGTCCAGCCATTTCAGAGATTAGCCGGAACAAATAGACAGACAGACAAAAATTGTTAATTTGGTATATGTACCGTATTTATATTCATATCATCATTGCCTTGCTTTTATCCCATTATTTGGGTCGGCGCAGTATTTATATTCATATGCGCGTAGTAAAAAACTGATATTTCAATATTACAAACGGACTCTTAAATTTTATTAATACATATAGATGCGGGCGCACCGGTCGCGCGGGCAACAAGGGGTACGCGTGGACGTTCCTGACTCCGGAGCAGGGCCGCTACGCCGGCGACCTGGTGCGCGCGCTCGAGCTGGCCGGCGCCGCGCCGCCGCCCGACCTGCGCCTCCTCTGGGACCGCTACAGGGACGCGCAGGAGAAGGACGGCAAGAAGGTGCACACCGGCGGGGGGTTCAGCGGGAAAGGTCGCTACCATACATTTATCATTTATTTATCATTTTGCCCTTTATAAAGCATAACCGCATTATTTGTCATTTTTTTTATCAAATTTAGAACTGATTCCACCCCGAAGCCAGCCAGTAGACAGATATACGTATATTAATAATATACTCAGCTCTATTACGAAATTTCACCTCGTGTGTCATAACCATCATAATGCACTTATATCATAATAGGCTATTATTGATACATCAACTGGGGTCAGGGTGACTATAGCGCACCTTGTTTTTATTTATATCATAGTAATAATAATATTGTTTGTATTATATTAGTTTTTTAATAACTGCCGTTTATTGCAGGGTTCAAATTTGACGAGTCAGAAGCACAGGCGGCATCTGAGAAGAAAAAGTACCAGAAAGCAGCGCTCGGTTTACAGGATTCTGATGATGAGGACGTGGAGGGAGATCTGGACCAGCAAATAGAGACAATGCTCGCTGCTAAGAAGATTGTTAAAGAGATTAAGGTACTACTTATTTTTTTAATGACTAGGAGCATTTTGCATTGCTACCCATGTGATATAGGGTTAGAAGTGCATACTTACGACATTACTAATACTATATTATATACATGATTTATTTTATTCAGTCACCTACAAGTTTGTCACTTACAAGTTTTCAAAATAATATAAGTGAAATGATGCATCTGTTGTGGGGCCGTTCAAATATTACGTAAGCAGATTTATTACAATTTACCTACCAAAAACTTACCCCCTCATCCCCCTTGTCAGCAAAAGTAAGCAGAACTCTTACCCCTCCCCCCATGCTTACGTAAACATTTTTCAATTAACGAATTGTTTTTTTTTTAGTAAAGACAATGTGAGGGTTGCCAATCCTGTAAAAGAGTAAATTACCGATGACGTAATCATCATCTAGAATCTCCCAACCCCCATGTCATCCAAAATAAGCAAAGCAACCCCAATTTTTCATAACATTACATTACATTTTACCATTTTAAACATTATTTAGAGATAATTCATCTTAAACGTGTCTTTGAAAAATAAAATCTGTGAATACAATTTTAATATAAATAGAAATTACTTGAAACATATGTACAAATGGGTGAACACGAAGCAAGCGCTTACGATTGCTCGCACTACTTTTCACGCGCGCTCCCGATCGCGCGTGAAGGAACGTGAAGAGGCAGCAAATGGGCGAGAAACTCGCGTGTTATGTTGCGTTTTTTAAATGGAGTCGTATTTGTATGTGTCAGCCGGGCGTGGTGGCGGGCGTGGGCGCGGGCGCGGGCGGCGCGGGGGCGGCGGGCGCGGGGGGCGCCGCCGCCGACGGCAAGCTGGAGCTGGCGCGGCGGCTCGCCTCGCGCATCAACCTCGCCAAGGGACTCGGCGCAGAGCACAAGGGCGCCACGCAGCAGGCCGCAGAGGCCATCCTCAAGGGCGCGCCCTCCGCGCACACGCTCATCACGGTCAGTACCCGCCGCATTCCTTATGATTGATAATGGATCGCGGTATCACCCGCGTACTCCTTACTTTTTGAGTTCTCTATATATTAATACTTTTTTATAGTCGAAAATGGATCACGGCGTACCCATGTGCTCGTTGCGTTTTGAGTTGTCTATGTATTAATACTTTTTTGGTTGATATTGGAATGCTGCACTCGTCTACGCTAACGGTTTACCTATGTCGCTTTGGAATAATGTACTTTTCAAACTGTGTAAGAATTTCTCAAATCATTCAAGTGATTTCGCAGTTTTCATTTCTCGTAATATTTGCACAGATAGAATAAGGATTATAAAATGTATAATTAGTATGGATTGTATATACCGGAATAGTTTGGCTCTATTCCGGGGCAATGTCCATGTCTATAATAGATTTCCGTGAAGTAAGATTTTTTTAATCAGTAGATATTTTTGTTAGTTCATCAACTACAAAGAAATATACAATAATTGAATCTTTTCTTCCTACTAAAATTAGCTTTTATTATAGAGTAAAAGTTAGTGCTCATTGGGAACTATTATAAGCTATCGTAATTCTACGAGTTTACAACATACTTGTAGAATTACGATGACTATGAATAGTATTGTAGATATCACCGTAGTTTTGCTCAATATACTATTTTTGATTGATCAAATAATAATTTTGGGGAACAGCCATGATGTTAAATTACCTAATCGTAGTCATTATTCATCACAAATTGAATTTGGTTTTTGGACATAGTTTCATATAAGTCGCGAAACCAAATTACAAAATTTTGTACCTCATACCTAACAAATATAATACCTCAACAAACGTCTTATTCGCTACCGAATCTTGGAAACCCCCTCTCAGCAACCATCCCATTGTTACTGGAATGTACACAAACGTAATGTATAGATTGAATTTTAAACTGTGCTACTATCAACTGTCAACTCAATCCTAAATTAAGGATTGCAGAATACCAATACAGTTGCTATTTCACGTCCCTACATAAACATGTCCATCTGAAATTTTGCAAAGATATTGCTTTTTCAGTTGTTAGATGCTATTATATACTTATAGTCGGTATTTTGTAAGTGTGTAAACCCAAGAAATATACCGACAGATTTGGCTTATTCGTCCTGACTATGCTACTCAACCTATGCTTCATAAACTGCGGTCTCTACCACAATAAAAAACTTAACGAACATGTCTAATCAAAATAAAATACGTTTGACATCTGTAGATGCCATATTATCTCTCGTCATCTGTCAATTCTCCTTTTTCTAAATTTACGTAATCTAATCTGAAAAAAACTAACATGCAAATGATCCCACTAACATCCTACGTGATGAGATGCGCCTATCAATACACACTTGTCAATGTAAACAAGTAAATTAATACCTAGTAGAATTTTCCATGCATTATATCTGGAGCACAATAACAACATTGTTATATGTATAAATAGAGTGCAACCATAATTAATATTTTTAATTTAAATATCAAATAAGTTCTATGATAGTCTATATTTCGCATGGGAAACTTAAAAATCGTAAGATACATATAATTTTTAAGTTTAAGAACGAAATTGAGTTTAATGTTATCTTAAAGACGATTATTCAATACTAGTGTAGGTGAGCAACATCTATTTGAATAAATATTTCACAATTCAGGTACATTATTTAAAAATTTAGCCGATATGAAAATAGAAATAAATTTATTATATGACCGGATGGTCATAGAATAAATTCGATGTCTACAAAAATAAATAATAAATATAAAATCATGTGTATGAACACATGATTTTATACAACACATAAGTAAATGAATTTACATACAAGGATTGATATTGTTTGATATGATTGTACGTAGGTAAAGATGTGAAGGTATGCCGAAAATAGATAAGGTATACATGGGAGCTTAAAATACTTGACATGCATCATAATACATATAATTTACAGTACATACAGTATCTAATATGCCTATCAGATCAAGACGAAAAAAATGGTACTTGAGTTACTGATATAAACAATTATACTCTTAAATACAAATGTTTGTACTGTGTGTAAAATCGAACCCGCGATCATGGAAGTTAGGCAGTGTGCTAAAAACGACCCCACCGAGTCCGTCATAAAATCGTCCTAATTGTGATTTACAGGCTAAAACAGTAGCAGAACAGTTGGCCGCCAAACTGAATACCAGACTGAACTATCAACCTCGGGATGAAAGCGCTTCGGAACCAGCCGAGGAGGTGTTCCGCAAGTACGAGACCGAGCTGGAGATCAATGACTTCCCGCAACAGGCTCGCTGGAGGGTCACCAGCAAGGTATGCCTACTTTATTATCCATATTATGAATCGTTTTATGCATTAATTTCTATAGAGGTTAAAAAGCAAATGGAATACCATACCCACGAACTTCAATTATCCTATTTAAATGGCTGAATTTTTTGCCTATTCTTCTCAATTGATTACAAATTGATGTTGATGTTCATAAGTGGCTAAAATGTCCTACATGAATAAATTATTTTTTATTTGATTTAAAATGTTGACACGACACGACTTCCATTTTATCTATGATTTGCTTAATGTAACTTTGCCTTGGGTTTCCCCTCTCCTCTTTTATTCTATTTTTCCCTCTATACTTCAATATTTATATAATAGAATATAATAATCCAAAGTTTGAGATATTCATTGGATCTATTTATAGCTATCTTTATCTGATGGTTACTTTAGTTTTCTGTAACGATTCCTTATCGTTATCCTTCCCATAGTTTCAAAATATTGAAATCTGGAATATTCTATGTAAATACAAAAACAGATTTTGATTATGGCTCAATAAATAACATGGGACAGTCATTGTTCCTTTATCTCGTGTCCGCGTGTACTAGTGAATAATAAATATTTTTTCCTCGTTCATACGCCCTCTTGTGATATCGTTTGACCTTATTTATTTCATTTTTTATTCTTTGCAAAGAGACTTTCCGACATTAATAATTAAAATATTATTACACAAAGGTCGTACTTAAGATAACCCTTGCATTTATGCACATGCAGTTATGTTACATCGCAACAATTCTCAGTACGATTTATTTCTTGGCAACAAACAGTCACCATGCTACTTAAGTTGGCGTTGTTGGGGGCCCTGATATTTTTTTGTGTTAAAATGCTGAAGAAGAACAGATGTTATCACTATCACTAATCATGGATAAGGTGAAATGTAAACCCACTAATTTGTAGTTTAACATTTCAACTAGTAATTGTAGAATACTTATGCGATTTCATTATCATATATACTTTCTAACTCATAGATCCTTGACTAAAGAACTCTCTTCTAATATATGTATATAATATTCTAATAATATAATACTTTTGGTATGGAATAGTAGGTTAGAATAGAAGCTATTTGTACTGGCTGTCTGGTAGGGGATTTGTGAAGTTAGTTGAATATATATATTTATTTAGTTAGGTAAATTTCTATAATCATGTAAGACTGTTTACTAAGATTGGCAGAGAGAAGCGAGTGTCAACGACCATTAAAGTTCTTCGTTCGCTTATATAAAGTAGAAAAGTATTGTATTAATATATTGATATTTTTTAGGAGGCGCTAGCACTGATCAGTGAGTACAGCGAAGCTGGTATAACAGTGCGGGGCACCTACGTCCAGCCCGGCAAGCCGCCCCCTGAGGGCGAACGCAAACTGTACCTAGCCATTGAAAGTTCACAAGAGCTCGCCGTAGCTAAAGCAAAATCAGAAATAACGCGCCTCATTAAAGAAGAACTGCTCAAGTTGCAGACCTCATCTCATCATATGATTAACAAAGCCAGATATAAAGTTATATAAATGATGTAATAAATGGCATAATATTTATGTGTGATTTTACTTGTATCATTTTACCTTGATGTCCAGTATCATCCAGTATTATTTGTGCAAAATAATATTCATGATAATGAGTTAAAGATAGATTCTTAATAATCCGTGTTGCCTACTTGTTTGTACATTACAACTAGGCTACTAGGTTCTGCCCTCGACTTTGTTCGCGTGGTTGTAGATAAATTCTACTCGGTAGGTTTAAGAATACATATACACCCCTTGTATTTTGACAGCATCTGTTAAGATATCATGATTATGTTTAGCCTAATTTACAGGCGCGTCATAGCGTAACAGTACAGACTAGATTTCGAACTACACGAGGTGGCAAACAAACAATTTCATACGGTATTAGTCGCAAATGACGAAAGCCAAGATTAAACTCGGCGATACTCAATTAAATGAAACAACATATGTATAAAGAATATTCGAACTTAGAAAATAATTTATTGAACTTTATCAAATACAGTTGCAGTGTATAATTTTTTCAACACAAAAACTATTTTTTTACTTGTACCACAGATAATTATAATATTACATACTTGTACACATAGAAGTAATAAATAATAGTTAATAATTACTGGGACTAGTAGTAGAATTTTGTATTGGCATTCATTGCAACTAATATATAATTACATGGACTAGCCTTCTTGATAAACAGTCATTAAAATATTGTTATGGACAGGAAAGAAAGCCAAGCATTCGATTGAATACGCATGTATAGAAAGGTATAATCAGCCGAAGAATAGATGAACAGTATCGATCCGAGCAAGAAAAACACTTATTCGGCTCTAAATAATGGAAGAAAGGTAAGCTGATATTGTTAACTCAAATCGATCTCATCATGACTATATATAGTTTTCTTGCAGTACATGTAATCAGTGTTTTTTTATTATTGCACATTATCCAGTGAAACGTTAATCAACATTATTTTTAATCTTCCTACTACTCTACATATAAACAGTACAAAATAGCTCCGCATTCTGAAACAGGGCGTAATATTTCGTAAGCCTTGTTTACATGTCGCGGCATATCTTAGCTAGCTGGTCCTCAACCAGTTCCAAAAAGATAATGACTGCACGCACAGTACGCACGTGTTCTGCCAAACGGAGGTGGCTTAAAGTGGCATATGTCACGGTGGCATCATTGTAGATTAAAAATAGCCTCAACAGTGGAGCGGTCTCGTGCGCGGGCGCCGCCGATAGTAGGGTTATCGCAATACCGAGGGAAGATTCCATGGCAAACAAGTTATTCCCACAAACACATAATGACATATGAACCAATTGTTTGATATGATTGTATTATCAATCTTAATTATAGGCAGAGCTCTAGATATTATGGAATGGATACAGTTATGTATTCGTCTATTATTCTAATGTGAGTGACCTTAGTTGGCGATTTTATTGTTATGTCATTAATTTTTTGGAGCAGCAACTGAATAGTGTTCGTGCATTTTCCATCAATGGTATCTTACTACTTAATTAGACTTAGGTATTTGATGTTTTATTTTATTAGATATGATATTGTATTCTTTATTTTTTAAAGACATTTTATAAGTTAAACTCGATGTCGCGGCAACCATATAATTAAATATGGCTATTAAAAAGTAGGGTTTGGTGGTGGAATGTTTTTTTTTTTGTATACGATAATGGAATGGTGCATCCGCCTGCGCTAACGGTTTACGCTGGCGGGGCACCAGTGGAGGGTGATAATATGAGCATGAGGTCAGGTCAGTTAGCCCATCGTGACAAATTCACCAGGAATTTCACACGATGGTTTCCAGGGGGAACCGCGTGGAGGTCAACCTGATATGGTACATTGCTAGTAATGGGTTCATTAGTCCACATTACTAACAATCCCATTTCCCCCCGGTGGTGGAATGTTAAAAATGTAAGGGTGTACATTTTTATGTAAATTACATATATCATGTACATTAATATCATATAATAAAAAACATTTTTTGGGGTAGGCCCACCATTTAGGGGTACAAAAAAAAGGTAACGTATTCATACAATTTTATCAAAATCGGTTAAGCCGTTTCGCCATAATACGGCAAATAACACTGTGACACGAGAATTTTATATATATGGGGATAATAATAAGATTTGCTGGTATTCCCCTATAATTATAATTATGATAGCAAGCTACATAAAACTATTACTTGGTTTTTATACATACAACGATCACTTGTAAACTGTACCATAACAAAATTATATGCAGTAACTTGATTTAGTTGTTGTTGTCAATGACAATTTTTTAATTTCACGTCTAGCGACCGGTAAATACCTACTAAATTTTACCCTGTGTCCTATTATTTTAAATTTAAGTACAATCGCAGTAACTTGTTTCTGTGTTGGTGTAAATTTAGTATGTAATAGGTATCGACTTTTGGGGGTGAAAGGGGATTTTAGTAATGTAATCCACATTACTAGTAATGTATGATGTCAGGTTGACCTCCATGCCGTTACTCCCACTGGGGTCCCACCAGCGCCATAACGAAGGCAGGTGCACCTTTCCATTATCGTACAATTAAAAAATACGTTATTTCCAATTCGATGTCTTCAGTTCCTACTCAGAAAAAAAGATTAATTTTATATATTTTTATACGTAGTTACATCTCTCTCCCCGATTGAAATTTGAAGATTACAACTGCGTGTCACTACTCATTCATCTACTGATAACAAATTGCTATTGTCTCCATGTCACCTATTGATCCCTTATCGTCCTCTATTAGTTTTTGGTGTATTTATTTATCTATATATTGTTGCTAATTGAACATTGTTGATAATTAGTTATCGATGCGGATTGTTCATTGATTGTATCGCCTATAGTTTTGTATGCAACATGATGTAAGCTAGATAATGTGTTTTTTTAAGATAACAAAATATCAAGAGATTAGGTACCTACATTTTTAGTCTATAACTAATTGTTGATTAGGTACGGTGTGATTAAGTAGTTACAGGCTAATTACAGAGCCATATTAAGTAGCTATTACGTTTTATGAAAAACTGTAAAAAATGTTTCAAAATGGATTCTCACTAAGAATTTAGTCTCCCTTCAGATTACAATATAAATATAAGTAACAATAAAAACCAAGTCGTTGAACATTACTAAAATTTCGTCAGGGTTCCAGAATGAATTACAGATATTTATTACAAAGAAAGAAGAATAAAAAAATAGATGGATTGTGTGATCAAATCAATCATATCTCCTTTTATACATAAAAGGAGATATGATATACACATAAAAGGAAGGTTGACTTAAATAATGGGACGAAGGCAAGAAATAGAGATAACTACATCCCATTTCTATAGATAGATAGCTGAGAAATACAGGTTTGAATCTATTGAGTTGTTGTTTATAATAAAAGCTTAACTCTATATTAGGATTTTTTTATTGATCATAATGGAATGGTGCATCCGTATGCGCAAACGGTTTACGCTAGTGGAGCACCAGTGGAGGATGATTAGATGAGCTCATGCTCATCGAGTATGTTAGCCCATCGTGTTAAATTCACTAGAAATTTATCATGATGGTTTCCAGAGGGAACCGCGTGGAGTTCAACCTGACATGGTACATTGCTAGCAATGGGGTTATTAGGCCACATTACTAACAACACCTTCCCCCATATGTTTGGAATTCCCAATTTAGAAGTTATCCGAGGTAAGTATATTATTATGTTATTTATGCTGTTAAAACATTTCAATAATGTTTTTAAATAGATAATGTGTATATAGAAAGTACTTATCTATTGGTAGTGGATCAATACCAATTCAGTATTATACTAGTATATTACTAGAATGTAATACCTTATGGCGACTATCGTTGGACGAGATGTAGTTTTTATGGGAATCTCTGAAAGCAAAACCATATGTTTAGACAGTGTTACTGACATTCTAAATGCTAAAAGGATTTCTTTCCTTTCTATCTGTTTATTACCTTTTCACGGTTAAACGACTGAAAAGGTATCAATGAAGATATGTTGTATCACGAGAATGGACACAGGCTATATTTTATCTCAAAACAATAAAAACAAGAAAACAGACGAAGTCACTAGTAAGAGCTAGTCCTAAGTACATAAGTAGTTATTAAACTTTGATCCTGCTGAGCCGGATAGAACCATATTTAATTATAATGTTTCATCATCATTATCATGATTCGTGTTTATCCATTAATGGAAATAGGCTTTCCCCAATGTCTCTCAGCACGTTCAATAGAAGCCTGGAATAGGTGGTCTATTTCTATTTCTATTTCTGTAGTCTATATGTACATTTGCACGTTCGCCAGGGATGATGGTGACTATAAAATTTTTCGAAATGGTTGGAGAGTTTTGTAGGTATTTGGAGAATGTTACCACTTGGAACTATGGCATACAATAGTGAAAGTGATTAGAATGGCGCAAATTTTTCGGTAATATGAACACACAAAATTATAAGATACAAGGTATTTACCTACTATATAAGTAAACTCTTCTGAATTTAAATAGATTAGCAAATACCGAGTATAACATATTATCGTGTTAACATAATAATTCTACAAAAATAGCTGTATGATTGAACCGAATTGATTGAACCGAATAAAACCAGATTTTTATTCTTTTTTCTCTAATACCTACTATTAATAAATATGTGCTATGGATTTGCTAAACTTGTGCATGTTCTATTATCAACAATTTACTTATTTACATGTGTTATTTTATGGCAATGTATTAAATATTATAATCCTTTTACATATAAGACTATTTTTATGACGGGCTATGAGGAAGAAAGACATCGTTGGGCTCAATGAATAATAATAAACTAATATAACTTCATGACTGTTATCTAAGTTGTGGTAGCTAGAGGTATTGTCAAACTGTTGATGTTGAGGTGAATGCAATACATGCCACGTGGCGTGGGTATATTTAAATCTAACGTTGCAGCGGGCTAACTTACCGTCGTTGTTCCTATTTTTTTTTATTATTAGTGTTTCCTGCACTGGAGAGTCAGTCGGTCAGAAATGAACACA